AAGCGCGCTTATAAATATATTCAACGGAGAAAACTGTCGAGTCGACGTTTTAATACTCGAAAATCATTTTCTGAATCCGAGAATACGTACCAATCATACTTGATTTCTATACGGCAATTTAACAACTCCGTCGCTGTCGCTGTCGTCGTCACCGCCAGTCACCAACCATTGTCTTTTTATCGGTTAGCTCTAATTAGAGGCAAGCATTGCGAAACTCGACTCCGTGAAACTCGGAAAGAACTGCCGCCAACAGCTCGAAAATATCACCGAGAGTGGTATCTTGCTTAATAAACTTTTCCTGCGTTTTACAGCGAAAACTGGGGCATCGCACAGAGCAGTATTTTGGAGTGACTGCCTACGATATGCAAAATTTCTGGCGATTTTTCATCGCTTTCGCATACATACGACGACTTTACCCGTCGTCGGATTTTATGCACAAAAATTTCTCGCGTAATGGAACGGCGTCCCGGCGCATCTCTAGGTTTGCATTACGCTTTCGTGCAAGGCGATACTTTTATTACATGAAGCATGATTCAATATAAAAACTTATTTCCCTAACTGCACGCAGGCGGGCGAGAGCAAGGCGAGAGGATAATCTGGATGCACGCATAAACCTTCGCCCAGCAGCTCGGATTACGATGTAACGTAGCTCGTATCGCTTCGTTATTACAAAAGCGTGCCTAGCAAGATACAAAGCACTGCGACAATGACCAAAAGAAACGATAAAACCAAGTCTACGTACACAACAATCTTGATGAAAAGAATGTATAATGAGTGGACGTCCGCTTTGTAAAACAACGCGAGAGAAACGAGAGAAGCGAGCGCGAGTGGCGAGTAAAAAAAATGGTTTTTTATGTCGAAATTTTCCGTCGCCATATCGCGCACAAAGTTATAGAGGCATAAGACAAATCGACTGACAAGTTGTAAAAGTATTATCAGACTCTCGACACAACATACGATTGTAAATCAATGTTCACCGTCTCCGCCGACGAAAGTCGAGCTCTGCGTGGAGAAGTAAATTTATAAGTAAATCGTATGGTATACATTTGCATGTGCATGTGATATTTCATTGGGGAACGCAAACAAATATGTAGGATATATCGTTGCGATGCTATAAGGTCGACTATTGTCTGTCGTTCAGTGCTTGTCGTTCATGAATATCGTGATACGTATCATAGAGCACGATACATATCGCGCTCCGCGAGAAAACAGCTCCTCAGCGTATGATTTCAGATGCTCCGCGGCGAGATAAACAAAACACTCGTGCATTGTTCAGAAATGTTACTTGTTCGATGTTGCTGGATGTGAAACAAAAAAATATGTGCATAAAAATACATACACTGTCGATCGCGAAGCCCGCAAATCCCACTTTCTTTAATCCGACGTCGGTACAACATTGAGGATTATTAAAATCATAAATATACGCCCCACAAAAGAATATGCATAATAATACTTGAAACATTTCCCGGTCATAAAATCTTGTTGACTAATTAAAATCTTTCTGACGTCTTTGAAGACGTTTAAACTACGAACAAAAGAATAACGATAAATGACTAATTAATTGTTATGTTATACATATCGACCTTGATTATACCGGATAATACACTTAAAAGAGCAAACTGGGAGCAAACGTTAATTATGCGCGACAATATTTTACAAATGTCGCCCCACATGTGAGCAAAGAAAATACACTAACGGAGAATCCTGCCAGTAACAATATCTTTAAAATCCTACGCTTGCAACATTTATCCAAGCGGATGCGTATCTCGCGCGTGTCGTAGGATCGATTAAACTATCTTATAGTTCCAGGCTGAAATAGAATCGGTCCTTGCGCGCGCCGCATCGTATAAAAATAAACCTAAACACTACTGCTCGATATAATGCGATATTTATTAAAAGCCCAACTAGAGGATTGGCAAGAGCTCGTCGACTAACTATATGTGAGATATTGCGTTTGATGCACAAACAATCCTGCATTATGTGAAAGTCTCGACTCCACAAAGACGACGAATATATCTCTTTATCTCTCATGTGTATTTTAAAGGTCGAAAACCTCGGAAATCGCGCGACCGTAATCTACGAATGCCACTTCATTTTATCGACGTCAGCCTGGCGCGAATCCACATTGCGCATATTACGTTTTAAGACGTCAACAAGAATTCAACAAGTGGAGATATTCAGTACTCACACATTTGACCTTAATTAATCAGTTTCGCATTACGCGAGCCTGCCTGGCAAAGTCTCGTGATGCCAAGCATCGCAATAAGACTATTTCATACTATATTGGATTTGTATTATCGTGTAAACATAAATAATTTTTACCAAGACTGCTAAATGATAGTCTACCTAATAATAGATCAGTCGTAAATAATATCCTATCATTGCAATGTAAATTTATTCAATATAAAATGCGCATCGTTTCAAATTCCACTTAGCTCATTACCGGTTTCTTCGCGCGCTACACCGCACAAATACATTTTAATAATCTCTAAAGTCTTATTCTGATCTCAAGTACATTAAATTCCTCGAAGCAATAGTTATATCAACTACTGAGATAAAAATAATTTCAATTATTCCGATATATTCAACATTCATTACAAACATGGACGAATAAGAGAGGCACAATGGTACGTTTTAAGAAGCATTTATAAAGGATATAATATTTACTTATTCTTCGAATAAATTTAAATCATTATCCGTATTGAATATTGTTTGCGTCATATTTATGTCGCCGCAAATCTATCGTCAAACCAATACTTCAGCAAATAAATGGTATCCATGTGTATAACCACGTTGTACGCGCACGTTGTTATACTATGTATAATGATTTACATAAACTCACCCTTGAGAGAGATTAGGCTGCTGTGTGAGACTCTCCGCCAAAATATCCACTTCCTGCACTTGTGCATTGTCATTGGTGATCGTCTCGAAACTAGCAGAGACAGTAGTAACTTCCTCCTGCAATACAATATAATATACATTGATTAATCATATATGCATCGATATTTGATATTTCTTGTTACATAAAAGATTATATAAATAACTTACTTGATGATAATGGTCATCTTGACTAGTCTTGTGTGCTACTGTATCTTCTTGTGTCTCAACATTTAATATAGTGGACCCAAAATTCTCTTCAAGGTTATCATAATTGAGCGTAATGTTACTGTAAGTTCCATAAGTCTCGTTCTTTTCAGATTTAAAAGAAGGAACCTCAGTTTGTGTATTTTCAGCTTGTGTACTTTCAGCTCGTGTACTTTCAGCTTGTGTGTCAGAAGCTACTATCAAAAACAGAAGTCCACTGTAAGAAAATAAAGTTATGTCATAATTAGACTTAAGTAACATTGCGCTATCATTGCATAATCCAGAAATAAATTAGGAAAACATTTTAAATATGTATAATTCAGCAGATCATTTACTAATTACAACAATAATAATAAGAATAATAGAGCAACAAACAATAAATGATAAGATAAACTAGACTATTTCAATTATATATTCTCTGTTCATTCATATAAGATATAAGTCACAAACATTCTTTACAGTAACGTAAGTTACAGATTATTTGATGGACTTGAAATTGGTTTTTCTTCAATAAATATGTGATATTAAGATTAATTACACAACGTATTCTATGCTATGGAAAATTAACTAATCTTATGTTATATAAGTAAAAATGTCTCAGTTAAATGTCAATTAGTTAAATTCAGATTGAATTATAACAGAAACTTAACTCACACATAGTTTAAATATAAAAATATATAACAACAAAAGCATCTTATGTAAGATTTATGAATAACAATTAACCTTCATTTTATCAAAATGCCTGTTACTGTAGAAAAGAATGTGACTTCTAATATATTTTATATAAAAGTACTGTATTAATTTATTAAAATTTCTTTCTATCTTGTTAATCGTGACTTGCTCGATTTCAAGAAAAATCTTGAGCATGAAAAACATAGACAAGTATTCAAAAAGAACAACAAAAATCTGAGATCGAATACATGATGTAAATGGGAAGAAGATTTACGCAATAATATTTTTTCGGTCAAGAGATCGTTCTCGATTTTTTATCCCGATAATCAGAATATGCATGCTGACACAGGTTCGAATTGTCAACAATATGACGCCGATGATGTGCAACTCACCTGGACACCACCGATATCAGGAGCAGCGCCCAGTACACGAACAATACGCAGGACCTCATCCTCTCCTTTTACGGGGAACCAATGCCGCGGGGTACCGCATTTAGGAGCTCTTTCTCAACAGAGGGTACGTTGTAATTTTTAAATGCGCACGAACACGACCAATCTACCACCGTAGTCAACGGCGCCAACACATACCACCACACCGTCACCGCCACTACCGTCGTCACCGCGAAAAACTGACGTGGTATTATCGGAAAGCTTCCGGCATTAAATGAGACCGCAACTCACCCATCAGAGTGCGTTCGAAAAATTCAGCAAATCCGAAATGTAATGCTATGCTGACGCTCTGGATCGTTATCGGCACGTATACAAATCTCCATGAGAAAAAGCGACATTTCGCTCGAATGAGTACACGCGCCCATACAAGAAATGTCGTGACTAGACGAGAACAGCTGATCGCGTGTGCGCACGCGTGCGAGTCTCCAAGATGTTGGATCTATCGTTTCATTTGCACTTTAACGAAATTACTGCACTTCGTATCACAAATGAGTGCTAATTATTTCAACTATATCATAAGAGAAAGAAAAAAACACAATTGTAAAATGGTCAAGAAATGTAACTAAAGATAAATTGATCAAATAAAGACAGAAAGACTTCTCATTTTTCTTTCCAAAACGTTCAAAAACATAGACTTGTTTCCATTCGCAAACGGAAGTTATCTGCGGGACAATTTGCAATCGAAAGATCGTAAATACATCGAATCGATTATTTCGATTGTGATATCGACTATCGCAAGTGTATATTGCGTCGTGTAAACGTGACTTTAATAATCATTTAAATAAACGCGGAAGGTTTGACCATACGATTTGATTTAGCGTCAGGTTAAAGCACGTATATGTCATGTTTAGTTTATTGACTATTTAGACATAATAATGGAAGTGAGTGGTAATTCACAAATTTCTCCACATGATAATGAGTAAGTATACGTGTCTACCGAGTAATGACAATCATGTAATCGTTTAAATTAAAATAATTGCATTTTTAAAGTTAAAACATTCATTGTACATGCAAGACTTACAAAGCATAATGTAACAACATCTATAATAAAAATTTACATTAAAGTAATTTTACACTGGAAAGATTCATTATTATAAGAATATATGTGAAATTAATATCTTTTTGTAATATCGTTTTGAAGGTTAAAGTAAAAGTTTTAGTTTATACTTACATATACATATATATTTTTAGTAAAAAACAAAATGATAATATATAATAGGGCAAGTATATACATTGACATTAAATGGTCTTCTTATAGCGTAACTGCAGATTCAGTATGGAAATTCATAAACAGCCCAATAATTGCAATCTTTTCTGACTTGAAAGATCCTGCTACGGAACAGATGTTATGTTCTCTTTTAGAATCATTATTAAGAAGATCCTCTACTTTAAGCACAGTATTAGTTCCTTCATTTAATAATGGCATACCAGATGAAACTCTGCAACAACAATATACAGGTAGTTTATTTTCATATTATTCCATTAATGGAATAATATAATGCTATAATAAATGATACTTTATAATATACCATTTCTATATATACTTCTAGCATTTACAACTTGGTTGTTTGGTACAATGTTTTATTTGGTATGTGTGCCATCGAGCAAGGTGATACTTTCAAAGAGCATTGAAGTACAAGCTTGTATGCTCAGAATATTATCCAGGCATCATTTTGGAATGTTTGATGCTATTAGTTCAGAATATATAAATATACTTAATGGTATGTAATAATAATATGATATAATTTCATAGAATAAAAATTAAATGATACTATATAAATGCGGTACTACAAACATAATATGTGTAAAACATTATGTTTCTTTACAGAGATATCAGAGTTTTATACAAATAATGTAGACACAGAAGAAATGACTCTCTCAAAGTTTCATACAGAAAAAGATATCATACAGAATTTAGATCTAACACCATTTACTGTAAAAATTAATTCATCACAAATGCCATCAGTTCAAGCATCTATATTAAAGGTATTGCTTTCTTGAAAATATTCAACATTGCTTTAATTAAAATAATATTTGTATCAACAGATAATTATGAAGTCTGGAGTATTGGTTTGGGAACAAATGAAATTGTGGGACAAAATTATAACAATAGTTGTAAAATTTCCTCCAGATTTAAAGATTGAAGCACTACAACTATGCACAGAAATAATAGAAAATTGTGTTATTCGCGATCGAGTAAGTGATCTAATCTTAAAAATAACATTGATCTAATCTTAAAAATAACAGTTTTTACTGTTAAGATATTATATATCTGCATTTTTTAGGAATTTGCAGCCTTAATTGCATATAGTTTAGAAATCATAAAGAATGTTTCAACTTGGATTAATTTGGGTCAATTACCAGTACATGCATTGTCTCAATTTGCAGAAATGTTAACATGTTTAATACAAACATCACCAGTTTTACTTAATGTTATAGAATTATGTTTTCAAGTTATTGAACTTCTAGCTTCTGGATTTATTAGTAAGTGCTTTCAGATTACTCATAACTGTATAAATATATTTTTATTTTCAAAAAATTTGAAATATAATTTTTTTCCAGCACATCATGTCAGAACTGAAACAATAAAGAAATTGACGGAGGTGACATGTCATAAAATTAAACAATATCTAACTACAGACCCAAGATCCTGTTCTGTCTTAGAAGCTAAGAAACTTTTGGCTTACTTTACATATTGTCCGGTATGTAATAATTAAAACAATATTTATTATTTCATTATTTTATTATTAGTTTTATTATTTATATTAACTGTATAATATGAAAATATAAAATATTTCTTTATTTCAGGCTGTCATCAGTATTTTTATGCAATTTGTTTTTATTGATATCAGACGAGCTGTTATACCAGAAAGTGTCAATTTTGCCATGGAAATGAGCGAACCATGGAAATTATTAAGAAAGGAATTAATGTCTTTTGTACAGATGAAAAAGTTTACAGAAGTACTATACATTATTAAAGCTTCATCTCTGTTACAATTGTGGCTGGAAGAACAGAAGATTCAAGTAAAACTATATGAGAATGATTTAAACACTATACTAAAAATTCTCATGCAAAATTTGAATTCTGATAGATGCCAAGATGTAGAAATTATCTTTCAAATTTTAATAAGCCTAATAGCTCATAGCGAATCGAATAAAGTCTTATTGCAAACAATATTAGCTCTACCATTTACTCAAGATTTCAAGGGATCTGTGGATATCAGTCAAAAAATGGTGCAAAAAGCAAAATCTCTCAGTGTCGATACCACGTCAAAATGTCTTGAAACTTTGTGCGCATATGGCAGTAGGAAGGAACGATTAAAATTGTTACGCAGAAGTATACTAAATGGCGAGATGCAAGTAGCTATTGTAGCAGTATCGTAAGTTCTATTTTCCTTTATGTTACACTTTGACGCATATTTTTAAAACTAATGCTTATCTCTATTAACCGAAATTTTATGGGGGTCCGTAGAAGCAGTGTACTACTGTTGAATAAGGAGGACATAACATTGCAAGATGTTTGCCAATATGTTCTGGACACTGCCTTATCTTTGACGAAAGTTGAAGTACACGACGTTCTTGCAAGTGTTTTAGGCCAGATAGCTTGCGTCTCATCAAAAAAAGGCAAAACTATTCGGTACTTTGTTAGCATTATTTTCTAGCTATAAAATGATGAAGAAAAATTAATGATATTTCTTTTCAGTGAATCATCAAATGATGGAAAATGGATGATACATTGCGAATGCTGTACAGAGAATGCGAAAGAGAATGCCGAACTTCAAGTGAACTATCTTCCAAGAACTTACAATAATATTTTTGACACGTATTTTAAACTACTGTCTTCGACAAATGTCTCGGTACGTTTGAATATGTCTAAAAGTATCCTGTCTCTCTCAAACCACATAAAATCTTTCAACTCGAACGAAGTGACAAAGGAATGGCTCCCTTACATATATGATGACAATGTGGAGATCCGACTGAATATCGCGTCGGTGATCGGACGATTACTGAGCAATAAGATTTCTATATTGGAGAACAACGAATATTTACCGGATTCGGTGCCAGACGATTTGGACGAATTTGTTGACTTAGTGATCAATGTTATAGCTAATACTCTCATGACTGCGGTGGATACTTCCAATCATTCCTTGCACGATACACTACTTATTACTGCGAAGAATTTCGTATGGTAAAATAGGGAATGTTAATGATGAGATTGAAATTACATAATATTAGATTGTTATTTATATTAATACGTAATAACATGATTTCAGTGTTCCACTACATCTGACAGAAAGAAGAATTTTAAACGTATTTCTTTTTACAATATTACATCCAAATTCATCGCCTGCAGCCGTAGCATCTGCCACAGTTGCGTATCAGGATGTTGCTGACTTTCTGAATGTTTCCCCAAAGGCTTTATACATCAGATATCGAAAGGATTTTTTAAAGGTACCTATTTTGTAGCTTTTTATTGTAATAAAACTTTGCATTGTTAATTTATATTGTTGCAGCTTATAATGGAACGTGCAGTTTGTAATTACATAGAATTCTCATATAATATGGCAACTACAGTACATCGCGTCGCCAAATGCATAGGCTATGAAGGATCACGTCATTTGCTACGCAAAGATGGCCATTATGCGATCTGCTATCTGATTGCTTTTATTGTTGAAATGCCAAAAGCAAAGGCACTTTTGCATGATATAGCTGAATTGATAAACATGGATATAAAGAAAATGCTCGAAGAATATTTTCCGGTAGTATACGAAGCATACTTAATTTACTTTAATCTTAATAATTTAATTTAATCTGTTTTAATATAACATAACTTATATACCTCTCTTTGTAGTATATTTGTAGTTATGCTTTCTTGGAGACACCTTTACGAATATCTACAGAATGTTTGAAACTTGTTACAAAAATCACTGAAAGTAGCCTCGCGCTTCTTACGAAGCGATCATTCATGGTAAGAAATTTGAAGTCTCATGCTGTCATTTAATTTTTATTGCACAATGGAAAATGTATATTTATCTTATTGCTTGTAGGAAATTTTTGAGGAACTTATGTTAAATTTTTATGAATCTCCTAAGAAGATAATAGGCTTTTTAGAAATCATTTCAGAATATGATAGCAATCATAGAGGAAACTTTACTACGCAAAAGCAAATTGTAAGTATTTTAATAACAATATTATGATTATTTTATACAGAACAATATTTCAGATATTTTATAATGCACATACAGGCATCTTATTTGAATCTACGCTTACACGGTATATTAGTAAACTTTGACATAAAACTTAGTCCCAAATCAGACGAGTACACGCAACAATCTGCCCTTGCTTCATTGGCTGTTTTAATACAATACATGGGTGCTACGTATTTAACTCCACTTAGATATAAAGTTTTGGCCACTTTACGGACTTCACTCGGATTTAAAAGACCCGGTTTTCCCCGTTTAGTTTGCGATGCATGGGATGCGTTTATTCACAAGTATGTCCATGAAACAACTAGCTAATACGACATCTAATACTAGAAATAAGATTATGTCTTGAGGTAATAATTTTTACATTGATTCCAGCATAGCTATGGAAGATCTGGGACCATTGTTTCCAACAATATGCGTATCGTTAATGCAGTTGCAGAAAATATTTGCTGAAAAAGTCAATAATATGTTAGAGTATCTGATTCTTCAAAGTGTTGCAGAAAACAATAATCACATCTCAGAATTATTCTTCATAGATGACATAAAAGTTCCTAGTCATATCTCTGATATAGTCAAGGCGCATATACTTCAAGCGAGGTAATTGTTGACATAAATTTGCGTTTTCCTTCAAAAGTCGTGTGATTTCCTTGAAAAGTAGTTGAAATGATTTTCTACGATTTCAGACCTGAGGGATTTAATGCCAATTTAGAATTATGGTTAAAACGAATCACTCATGAGACTGACGAGGTGCGAATCAGGGCTCTAAAACATTTGCAAGCCTTTCTAGAGAAACACCGCACCGAACTTAATCAAATGATATTGAGCGAAACTGACGTCCATCCACTAATTGTTGAAGTACGTATGTTTAACAAATAAATACTATCAATACTTTATTTGTTGTAATACATTTCATCGTTTAATATTCTTTAAAGCTATTAGATACTTTACTGATTGGGTGTCAAGATAAAGATGAATCTATACGCTTATGTTATGGAGAATGTCTTGGAGAATTAGGTGCAATCGAACCTAGTCTTCTCCCAAGAAGAATTATTTCTAAAGGTGCTTAATTCGACATTTTTATTACGATGATACTTTCTCTGAAAATTTGTCTCAAAATTTCGTTATGTTATAGAGGATAGTAAATTCATATCCGACGTGAATGAAGAGTTTGCCTGTGCGTTACTCTTTGAACATGTACGGGCTTTTCAAATGCAGAAAAACAGTCAGAGTATGGATTGCTTTTCACTCGCTATACAGGTATATAAAAATACGCACACATTAGCGACAAATCGTGGAGACACTATAACATTGTTGTAACGTGATCAATATTTTCAGGAAATCTTAAGAGCATACGACATCTCTCCACAAGGCCAGAATAGTGAATTATGGAATAATTTGCCATCTACAACGCAACAGATTATCACTCCCTTTTTGACATCGCATTATAAAAGGAAGGAAGAAGCTATCAACGAAGATAATGAGTTTCCTCATCCTGTTTATGGGTATGTCTCATAAGAAATAAATTTGTATCGCTCTCAGATTTATCGAATTGTACCGCTTTTATTGTTGATTTGGCACGATGGATGATCGTTGCAAATATTCTTACAGTTCTGAAGCAGGTGCCTCGGTCGAAAGCTGGGCTTATTACTGGCTTTGCAGTATGTCCAATGCTGTACACGATACAACATTCAGTAATGTACTGCAGGCATGTAAATTGGCATTCAAACGGGATATGAAAACGCTGACATTTTGTCTACCGTATATCGTGTGTAAGTGCTGAAGATCCAATACATGTAATTATTTTGTTACTTCAGAATATGTACTTACAAGACACTTCCATTCGTTAGCCTATATAATCACAAATAATAGAGAAGAAGAAATTTGTATCAAACTTAAAGAGGAGATGTTAGCCGTGATTAACGTCAGGGAAAAGCCCATATTAGATTCTGAACTTTTGCGTCATCGACCACTTCGGTTCGGCCAGAGTGTGAAAGCCGATGACAAGAGAATCTCAGAAGAAACCAGACGTACTCGCTGTTCGCGGGTTAGTATAGATATCTTTTTTGTTGTTGAACCACTTTCTATGTTAACTTGATACTCTGTCGTAAAATATTCTTACGTTGATTGAAACAGGTGGTTTTCAACATATTGGATCACTTGCAAAGATGGCTTAGAGAACGAAGATTGTTTCAAGACAACAGATACGAGGCAATAAAAAGTGCGAATTACTTTATTATGTATTATTTTAATTCCTGCGCAGGATGATATGATATGATCGTATGATATACCGATTGTTACTCCATTGATATTTCTAGATTTTTGCAGTATGCTAGACAGTCTGATGGTAGCAGAGGGCTGCTACCAATCACGGGAATATCATCGGGCACTGATGTATTTAGAGCAGCATATGGCCTCTAGTAATAAAGGTTTGTCAGAACCGACAGAAGGTGGTTTGCTCGCTGTACGTAAACGTTCTGTGATTTGACACGATGAATGCAGTACGGATATCCTTTGTCTTCCTAACGAGATATTCTTGTTGCAGAAAATTTATGCACAACTCGACGAGCCCGACGGGGTGTCTGGTATTCTGGCGACTCAGAATCAAGCCCCCACTCTACAACAGCTAGTTCTAGCTCACGAGGTTAACGGACAGCTTCAGGTAACGTCCAAGAATTCGAGTAATTTGCACTTAGAAGCTATTAATTTTACTTTGCATTAATTGCATTTTGTGAAGTCTCGTGCTGATTCACACAGGATGCGGCTACGTGCTATGAAAGACTCGCGCAGAAAAAGGATTTAAAACATACATATTTGCAAGGCATGATTCAGTGTTATCTTGGTCTGGATCAACCATTTACTGCCGAGCACATTACCGAGGGCATGTTGAGCAGCAGGTAATACCGTACAGTAAAAAGAAATGTAAGGTCGAATCTTGGACGAAGTTCTCACATATTTTTCTGAATATCTCGTGATAGGCCGGAGTTGGAGCCTCTCATAACTGAGCGTGAGCTCTTTTGGAGACTCGCTCATTTTTCTCGATTCGACGAGACCTCGCAGAAAAACGTCAAGCATGTATTACTAGACGATCTCATAAAAGGTATCAAACCGGACTTGCTATCGTTAAAGAAGAATTTGGTGTCGCTATTGGAGGACGCTTCTCAACCGGGAGTCTATCAACAAAGTTACTCATACATTATGAAATTGCACATATTAAATGAATTTGATAAGGCAGTTTCAATGATGATGAACAACGTAGAAGGTCTTCCGGTGATACTGGAAGAATGGGAAAAACGCGGACAATTATTGAGGACATCCCGCGGTGTGGAATTTGTCCTGAGTATGCGTAGGGCTACTTTAGATTTAGCTGTACAATTGCAACGGCAGACTCGCAATACCGAAAATTCCACGCTCAACCAGGAAATCGGTAAAATTTGGCTGAAGAGTGCGAAAATCGCCAGGAAAGCTGGTCTGCATCAACAAGCATATATGCACATCCTATCGGCCAGTGATTCGTGTCCACCGCAACAATTGTACGTAGAACAGGCTCAATTATACTGGCAAAGGGGTTGCCAAGAAGACGCTTTCACTACGTTGAATCGTAGTTTTGCAAATTGCTTTCAACCAGCGCAATATTACAAGCAGTTGCCTCCCGGTGAATGTACTGAGGAACAAAAACAGTTCGCAAAGGCGAAGCTACTGTTTGCGAAATACAACGACGAAACTCTCAACGTCGATACAGACGGTTGTATCATTAACTATAAAGAAGCGATAGATGTGTGGAGAGGATGGGAGAAAAGTTGGTTATCTTGCGCTCAATATTACGAGGCAGTCATCGAGAGGATGCCAGAGGATGATAGAGATAGAAAAAGACGCGAGTTGCAGGTGCATATGATGAACTGTTACGGTAAATCGCTTCAATACAGCTGCAAATACATCCACCACTCGATGCCGAAGATGTTAACCGTTTGGTTGAATCTTGCTTCTCGTGCTGCAATCACTTCCGATCCGATAGATGTTGTTACATCCCGTCAAGACTGCCTGTCAATAATGACTAAGATGATGGACGCTTACTATCAGAGATTACCGATGTTCATGTGGCTAACAGCATTCAGCCAACTTGTGTCTAGAATTTGTCATCCGTCTCCGCAAGTGCAGAATGCTGTTCGCACAATTCTAGTAAACTTAATTCTGGCGTATCCTCAGCATTGTTTATGGATGATGGCATCAGTCTTCAATTCTTCATATTCGGCACGACAGAAACGTTGTCAGGAGATTTTGAATCATCCACAATTAAAAACGTCGGGAATGTCCAAGCTTATCAGCGACTTTCACAAACTTTGGGAAAAACTGATCGAGTTATCCAATAAGCCAATACCAGACAAGATATCAAACACTACAGTGGCTCAATTGTCGAAAAATTTACCGAGGTTACTCGCGAGCAAGGATTTCAGTCCAATCATGATGCCAACAACAAAATTCAGGCAATTGCATCTTCCATCTAAAAATGCTTCGCTAGATAATTACAAACCGTTTCTTTTGAGATGGGCGCACATAACGAAAATAGAAGATGACGTGATGATAATGCCATCGCTACAACGACCACGACGAATTACCTTGAGAGGATCGGATGGCAAAAAGTACCTTTTTATGTGTAAGCCGAAGGACGATTTACGAAAGGACTTCAGATTGATGGAATTTAACGACATCGTCAACAAGTATCTGCAAAATGATCCTGAGTCACGTCAAAGGAGGCTCTATATAAGAACATATGTAAGACCTAACGATATATTCTAACGGTATTCTTTAGATTTGATTTCAATTGACAATTAATCATCAATTATTCATGATTTGCAGAGTGTGGTGCCGCTAAACGAAGAGTGTGGTTTGATAGAGTGGGTACCGAACCTAATTGGTTTCCGACCTACCATTATGAATCTGTATAAGGAGAAAGGCATCGCACTTACAGCTGGAGAACTTAAAACGATGCTATGTGGTAAGTTTCAGTGTGCGTAACGCAATAATAAGAACAATTTAAACATATAATTTAACAGGAAGAGATCGTTCATGCATCACGTGTATATTATTTCTCTAGCGTTGACAGACACGTTAGAAAAAAAGAAGGAAATATTTCTGAAGAAACTATTGCCACGACATCCAGCTGTGTTTGGGGAATGGTTTCGCATTATGTTTCCTGATCCATATGGATGGTATGTGTTGATAAGACACATTGTTTTGAATGTGTTGTTTTATTATGAGTCGCAAATTCGTTTCGGCATTTGGGAGGAAATGATTGAGTGTTTTATTCCTGCTGTATAGTCCCTTGTTTTTTGCGTAATTATGTGTAAGTACTAATTATATTCAATTTTTGGTAAAGGTACGAAGCTCGTACAGCATACATCAGAACTACCGCTGTTATGTCCATGGTGGGTTACATTCTCGGACTTGGCGATCGTCATGGAGAAAATATATTGTTCGACTCCAAATGCGGAGATTGCGTGCACGTTGATTTCAATTGCTTGTTTAATAGGGTAAATCGATATGTATACATATTAGGAATTCTGTTGTATTGCTATTAAACACACACATTACGATTTTCAGGGTGAACAGTTTGAGTGGCCGGAACGTGTACCATTTCGCTTGACCCATAATATGGTGGATGCTATGGGTCCCCTAAAAATTGAAGGACCATTCAGACGTGCCTGTCAAATCACCATGCGAGTACTTCGACAACAATCGAGCACATTGTTGAGCGTACTCACGCCTTTCGTATATGACCCGCTTGTTAGTTGGAACAGAAATCAGGTCGGCGATGTGGCTGAAAAAACAAATGAAAAGGTATACGCACTCTGTCGTATCAAATTACAAACGGTAATTCAATCAATCCACATTTATTTCTGTCGCAGGCTGTAGAAAATATAAAAAACATCGAACAACGATTGAAAGGCTTAATTCGATATCCCAGAAGAAAGGCTGAAAATATCGCGCTACATCTCAGCGTCGAGGGACAGACTAATCACTTGATTTTGGAAGCGATGAATGTTGATAATCTATGTCAGATGTTTATCGGTTGGGGTGCATATTTGTAGCGAGCGTCTCGAGCAGGATTACACATAATGCAAGATCTTGCGTGGACGATTACGCGCAACGGCGTACCAAACGTGAGATCATTGAAGTTCCCACATTGGGTTTTTAATCGTTATTATATATTTTAATATTCCTCTTTTTTAATATCAGATTTTTCTCTCTTATTCACACATTTATGATTTTATTTTATTATGACTCAATGTTGTTTTCTTTTAAGCTGACACTTCGCAGTAACATAAAGTATGAAAGAGCATTGCTTAACACCTGTAAATTAAAATTCGGATATTGTGTGTATCTCACGGTTTTATAATAAGTGAGGTATATATGTATATGTAGTATTCTTACTGAGTTGAAATTCTCCAAATGCATTATGTAGAATTTTCCTGCGGTAATTTTACTTGGTTTCTGACTACGCAACATGAGCAGACATAACTCGTTTTTAAAAGAAACTGGCAATTTATACCAATTGGTTGAATACAGAGTTTTATTGATCGCCAAACTCTGTCATATAGGTAAAATATGTATAAAGAATTTGTCTTTGTATTCGATTTTGCTATTTTGCTTCATACCTCATTTATTAGGATGTCACCGGGAATACAAAAAAGTAATAATTGAAAAAGTGCCATTATCAAGTATGAGAAATATTTAATCAGTTTAGATTTTTCTGCTAATTCCTACTAGAAAAATTCCATGTAAAGATTGGCAATATAATGACAAATTTTCAAGGAAATTTGTGTAATACTTGCAGTTGTAACCTGAAGACCTACTAGACAGATTATGAGACTGCTAGCCAACGTTTGCAGAAATAGCATCGGACTAAAAACCATTTCCATGTAATCACAAAACCTAAATGTAATACCGTTAGACTTTATAATCACACAAACATACAACTTAGGTTTCAATTTACTTAAAATTACCGAAGAATTGTATAATGATGTTTGATAATATGTGTTATTTGTAATTTGACTTTTTGTACAGAATTTTCTTCACTATGTGTATGTTGCACCTGAATAAAATCAAATAATATTATATACATCTACGAGAATGTGTCATAGTCGCCGTAAATATATGTTGATTTATGATAATTGTAATAATGATAATGAAAGATTGTAAAGTAAAAATACTAACGAAGATAACTTTAGCGGTAATATTTTTTATCTTTTCTTGAAGTATTTTGAATTGACCACATGTATGAAACAACGCTGTTGCAATTAGGGTGTCGGTTCCCAGGATAATAAGACCGCATAAGCTCGTTGCTACCATTTGCGACAGATAAACAATCTACATAAACAATAAAATACATACAAATGTTACTATTCTGAATAGTTTTAACAAGCGGAAATAATACTGCCCTTACCTCATATATCGGAAAGTTATAGTAAGACTTAGGATATAAAGCTAAGAATGGAAAATGTTTTGTACTGTTATCATTAAATCCAGCGAGCGTTGTAATAAATATTTCAATTAGAGGTAGACTAAAGAAAAATAGTAAAGAATTGCAAATTAAAAATACATATCCTTTAGTAAGCTTTCTGGCATATCTGTAAATAAGTATTATTATATAATAACAGATGTTATTGTACGTACCTGTAGTACATTTGTAATTTGAGAAATGTTCATTTACGTTGCATATACATCTGCGTATTTCGTAATCTGTGTCGTCATTATTCTCCAATAATCTGTTAACATATAATCTATAAATGGATCCATTTTCCCTCTGTTGTACATCCAAATCAACGATTTTAGTATAGCGAGTAAAATAGTGAGCAACACTGAACTGTAAAAAGGCAAATTAAAGAAAGAAAATTTCTTGACATATATATTGAGATATACCTTGTTTCCAGTACGATAGCCAAGTCTTGCCAATCTTGATAAATTTGTACTGTTTGCGGTATAATGATGGTAAACATACACACACAGCACACGATGTATCTCACGATATTTGTTGGATAAAGGCCAACAAATTTTAAAACCTTTTTATTAATAAGCACATAATCGTCGATATTTATCTGATTTTCATTGTAAGGATACATAATGACAGGCTGAGTCATGAAAGAAGGAAGAATTCACGAACTTTATATCAGATCTATATTAATTTATGTTGACAGAAACGTGATAATAGTGGTATAAGTCTGTCAACAGATACGAATTTTTCGGCGATTAGAAACATACTGATGATCTTCACTAGTTGACACATCATACTTATTTTTAATCGAGTTTTCTCAGTTAATTGTTCATTCATATAGAACTAATAGTAGGTCCATTATTATATTAGAGATCTCGTCGAAAGGCGTTAATGTATGAAATATGGCGAAGCTTTATAGCAGCCCTTGTTCATTAATATTTCAAACTTAATGATAGCTCATTTGTTAGATCAATCTCTTTCATTATAGAGGAAGTATAATGACAAGCTGTCATTCTAAGATCTTTTCTTCCGTCTTTTTTACTTATGCAGTTTGACAAACGACACTGCCTCATTGGCAGGGTATTAATTGAAGCAATTAAAGAGACAAGTAGTCTCCTTTGTACTTTCATGTTTGACTTATTTATTGCTTCGGCGCATACATAGATACATCTATGCGTAGATACATCTATCCCTAGCTAGAAAATTATACCTTGTAGATGAACTTTGTTCTATCTTATTCTTATAGGACACTTGCTACAGTAGTAGGACATGATGGGACATGGTTTCACGGGATACAATGCACATAATACTATCGACAATGAAGTCGAGAGGATGTGCAAGTGCAAGTGCAAAATATGTGTAACGAAGGAAGAAACAATGGAACACAGATTTACTTTTAGGACACAGCCTGTCACGGTAAGTTTTTATAAAAAGATCTCATTTATAATCTACAAAATTTTATGTATCTTATGGTATAATATAACGTTTCGATGATAAGGGAAGATAAATTTTGTCATTTCACTTGCCTGTGAGTTTCACAGATTCATAATTTCGAGCAATGAGATTGGCTAGTGATTAATTTTGCTTATAAATAAAATGTAATTATTCGCGTATATGTATAGAATGTGCATATAATTCCATAACATCAGAAGTGTATTCGTTCATCATACAACGTTATAAAAAGTCCTTTCATCTTAAAAAGTGATTTGTATCACGTGCCTTATACGTTATAATATATATCAAATAATGCACAATATATCGCGCAGGACGTAGATACTCATATTTTAAAAATTGTATTGACTTCATGTGCGACATTTGTACAAACACTGACGCTAAGATGACTTGAGGATAGAAATATATAATGAACTACTGTGGTTTAAGGACATTTTCTCTCTACTTGACTTTTCCCACTTTCCTCATATTCTTGGCTAGAAATCCACATTTGTTGGAAGGTACCAATCGATGCCAATATCGAACCACCTATCCAAGCTCCGAATCTTCTTTCCGCGCAACCATTCGCACTGATTAATTTCAGACGCATACTAGTAGGTATTCTCACAGACAGATCTCTATTTAAACGTTCCGGGAAGCCCTGCAAATATATAACGTTCCATTGGCACAGAATGGCATAAAAAGACAATTGTCCAATAAATCTTTTATGTTAGAATTATACCTGAATAAACGAATTGCCACCGGTGACGACGACACTCGCATAAAGTGATGGTCGCATGTCAACATCGCACATACCAACACTGGTAGCGACAATGTGTCCCACACCTAGCATGGTATTGCCAACCATGCCACCGCGCATTTGTACCATACTAGGATCAAATAATGCTTCTGGTATCCGAAATCTCTCACTTCCAAAATCCTTGAAATATATTTTCTTCTTATTTAACTTTTTCTAAATTTAACTTTTTAAAGAGCTACAGAGACATTATTCCAAATACATACTTGATGATATCCAGTTGGAAACTCATATTGGACTGCTGGAATTGTAGAAACTATTTTCTCATCATATGGAGTCTCTGATACTTGAAGAACTGTAGCTTGAAAATCTTGGATTACTTTTTTCACCATATAATTATGCCAAGACTTAGTAACTTCAGGTATACCTTTCTTCTTAACCCACCGTGGTTTATCATGATCCTTAACTACTTCTTTACTACCCACCATATAAGGAGGTGATAAATCAATATCATTATCCTGCAATTATTCAAAGTCAGTTTTAGAAATATTTTAATGATTGTAGATAAATTCATACTTTATGCAAGAGTATATATACCTGCAAAAACTGTCTACATTGCATACTTATATAATCTCCACCAAGAGGAGACTTAACAATGGCTTGAGTCAATACAAATCCATCTTGCACAGGTACTGCAGATGTATGTGTGGCACCACTGTCAACAACTATACCAGTGGATCTGCCATTTGCAAATGCAGCCAAAACCGCATTTTTTACAATGAAAAAAGCTGGTACATTATATTTCTCAAACATTAATTCAGTCAATTTCTCCCTTTTGCTGCGTATATTCCAAGGTGACTCAGAAAACAATACAGGATGATACTCAGCATCAGACTGAATTACTTTTGAATATGTATAATCTAAGACCTAAGAAATGCATATATAATGACTCTCAGTATGAAAGATATGCTTAAAATAAATTATTACTTATTTGTTACCTTTTCAAAATGGTCCCAATCCTCAATCATACCATCTTTCATATAACTTGCAATTTCCATGTTTCTTCTTGGAACGTGAAGAATTGTGGTATCGATATAATATTTGGTCCCACTCTGAGTAATATTGCTGTCAGGTTTTTTATCATCAATATCCATAGGTTCTGCTTTGCTGGCTGTATTGTTGCCATCTTCTCCTATACCTACAACAGCTGGAATCTCTGCCTTTGGTGTATCCTCTTGAGCATATCCTACTCTTAAAGAGTGATGGCCTAAGTCAAAGACCAATGCTCCTATTTCATCTCCACCATATAGCATACCTCCAGACATCTTGAGAAACTTTGGAGTATCTTCAAGAGTAACATTTATGCTGAGTGATTATTGTGCAATATTGAGTATTTCTGTGATATTTATGTTTTAATGATTCTTTATCATCAATAGTAATCAACATTGACAGTATGATGATGTACTCATAATAGATACAATAAACTAGTAAAAATATATTTATATAAATGTATTTTTATACATACCAACATATTCATAAAACTTACCGTAACGTCTCTACAAAAGATAACTTAATAAAATGGCAAGGATATGTATCTACTTGACGGCTACATGAACATTTATTTTTGTGACTCACACGATACACGCTATGACCATAACCCTAAATCTGGAAAAGACGCTTTCATAGCAAATTTAATCATTTGCACTTGTGCGCACTAAGTGCACAATAAAGCTTGTTCACATTCCAAAGCTTGTTCCATTCTTATATTTAAGATCATCTTAAATACATACTCAAAAACTTCTTAGACGATAAGACGATCCGTACAAATATTACGGATCTTATTGTACTGGCTAAGAAACATTTAAAAATATATTTAAGACGATTTTAAATATAAAAACGGACTGTATGAATAAGCCTTAATGCACTAGTGCAAGCCTTCGAATTCGTTAGCTCAAATGCGTAGCAACATAAACACAAGCGCAAAAGATTTAACAGAGAGGAACCTGAAAGCGGCTAAAGCCAGCGGCACACGGTGCTTGTTTTCGTGCTAGATTGCTTGCTGGATGAAATTACTGCGTTCTGATCGGTGCATTTCCATCCATCTTCGGAAATGCACTAATCAGAACGCAGTATTTTCATCCAGCAAGCAATCCAGCACGAAAACAAGCACCGTGTGCCGCTGGCTTTACACAGTTGATCTGGTCTTTGCTTCTGCATCGCTGCACTGGTGCGATAAGTTAAAGTGAGATGAATATATACTTGTCTCACTCGAACTTATTGCACTAGTGCAGCGGTGCAGAGGAAAAGAACAGACCTACAGTTTTCGGCGACACCGACTTTCCGCACTGGGAAAGAGCGCCATCTGCATCCATTTTGAGAGGGGAACTACGATGTTACACCTGGCTAAGGCTAAATTACGTCGTAAGTTCAGTAAGTGAAAAACATAAGCATTCTTAGGCTTTTATTTGATAAATTTTTCTCTGATAAATAAATAATGGCTGATGAAGATTTTGACGGAGATGAGTAAGTAATATAGTTCGCTATTTCGCTATTTCGCTATTATAACTGCTGCTACGTTTCCTTAAATTTGTATTCTATTTCCTCTTTTTCATTAACCTTTTTCGGATACATCTCTGCGGACAGCAGCCCAAGTATTATAACAAAATTGTAAACAGAAACAATATCAACAATAATAATAATATAATAATAAAGTCAATTTTTATACAAATTTTAATAGTTTTGTTGTTATAATTATTGTTTCTTTTAATTTACAGTTAAAATATTCGAGTGCTGTCCACAGATATCCGTTCGTAAGAGGTTAAAAGCAATAGAAAACATTAAATGTCTAAAGAATGCAAGAAATAATATGATTTCATGCAATTGACGATCTTTTGTAGCGTTGCGGATGACTTCGATGATGTAGATGACGAGGATAACATTGAGTTGGAACCTCAGGAAGATGAGGGTGAGAATATCGAATTATTGAATCCTACTGAAGCTACCAGTGGTATGGAAAGATCAACTAGAATAACTACAAGATATATGACAAAGTATATATATGTAACTTCTCTATAATATGAAAGTACAAAGAATATTAGAGATACAATAAAGAATTTTTATTGCAGATATGAAAGGGCTAGAGTTTTAGGAACAAGAGCACTACAGATAGCCATGTGTGCTCCTGTAATGGTAGAACTGGAAGGAGAAACAGATCCATTACAAATTGCCATGAAAGAATTGAAGCAAAGGAAAATTCCCATAGTTATACGCCGCTACCTGCCTGACAACAGCTATGAAGATTGGGGCATTGATGAATTAATTATAATAGATCATTAATCTTAGTGTGTACTTTATAATTTAATATATATTTTGAATAAAGTTCCTTTATATATGTTATCTATTATATATATATATATATATATATATATAAGTATACAATTCTGTATACTTGATATACTTGATAAGTCAGTCTTTGATGAATCAGCTAGGATATTAATCATGAATCTTTTCCTCTAGCATGAACTTGTGAACTTGAAAAGTGAACATTCCTATATGCTTTTACATTAAAAAGTTCTCACTCTTAACGAGTTGACGCTTGAGGAAAAGATTCATGATTAATACCCAGATATTTCAAATAGTACTCAATGTTTAATAGGACATTTTCTTCGGTAACGTGACCGAACAAAAGCTAGATATATTTTTATCTCTGTCAATGAGAAATAAGTCTTCGACTACGATCAGCAGCTGGATTCTGTAACTCGTTATTGGAGTTAACGACACTTTCGTTATTGTTGCGCAGCTTTTGTATACCGTAGAAAAGCTGCGCAACGATAACGAAAGTGTCGTTAACTCCAATAACGAGTTAAAGAATCGTGCCGCAGAGAGGAGCGGCCAACACGGCGTTTTCGACGACACCGACTTTTCCGCACTAGAGTCCCTATAGTAAGAGTCTGGCCAATGTTCTAATTGAATACAAAATGGCTACTACACCTGTACTGCATCCACTGTAATCTCGGTTTTTACGCGTGCACATGTAAGTGATAACATAACATCATTTCATCTTGGAAAAAACTTCCAACACAATAAGAGGACTATATATAAAAATATTTATAAAAATATTTTAAAAATGACTAGTTGTTGCATACCGGGATGCAGAAATAGAAGCGAAAATGGCTTCTATATGAAACGTTTTTCAATAAGTAAAAAACAAAAAATTATATAGTTGAAACAAATTGGAAGAGAAAACTGGAAACCGAAACAATATTCAGCAATTTGTGAGGTAAGCATGTAATTATATCAAATAATAAACAAAACATGTTTCTCATCTAATTGTATTTGTAGGTTCATTTTACTAAAGAAATGTAGGAAAAACCGCGACAGGATGGTTCCAAAAAATTAAGAGCACAAGCAGTGCCAAGTTTTCCTCATACAAAAGTAATGTCGGAATCTTTCGATGGAAAAATAAAGAAGTTAAAATATAATAAAAACAACGATGAGAATAATTAAATTATTATTAATAAATATTATTATTAAAATGTTATCGCGTAAAAACATTATTTTTTGTTAACGATACGACGTTTAATTATTTCTTAGAAATGAATTATGTAATTGTACATTATTTGCCTTATATTAAGCAAAGCAATTATAACATTATATTTCCTTATTGAAAAAATGAAAGATATTGAATGTACTGCATTAAAAATATGTCACAATTTATCCCACGAAATTAAAATTCGTTTCATTAATTTTAAAATAAGAAAAAGTTGTCACATTGGAAAATTAGAAAAACCTGTTTTTAATAATAAAACCATGACTATGCAACTTATATAATATAAAAATTTAATAATAAAAAAATTGTAAAAATGTATTTTAATTTTCCTTTTCCTGTTACTGCTATTCAAATATCCCGCATACTTTGCTATCACTAATTGGTGGTGCCATTTCGTATCCAGCCAATCAAAAATTGGACCATATTGGCCAGACTCTTACTATAGGGACTCTAGTGCGGAAAGTCGGTGTCGCAGGAAATGTCGTGTTGGCCGCTCTCAGGTTTCTCTCTGCCCAGACTCATGACTCGAATGTTACATATTTATCGATTAGAAAAATGTCGCAATCTCCCTGCATACGAATTACGACATCGTGTCTGCAGATGGCGCGAGAGCAGAATTTCATCCGTATATTGGTTACCCTGAGACACATGTATATTGGTCACCCTGAGACTACGTATCTAGACTTGATTTTCGCAGCGATCTTCCATTTCGCTTCTTGTGCGTGATAAATGTACAGATATTGAGGGACGATTTGATATTCCCATAGTGGCGTAATTGATATGGCCGCGACTTAACTTGCAGACGGCTGCTCGCAGTGTTCGTCGTGTTACGAAAAGTTGCGAAGCAAGACCGTGAGTTGACATTTGCATTGTCTAGCTCGACGCTTTTGTACACTCCTTCAGCGTGTCGTTAGTGCTTTTGCTGATTGTTCGTCCGTTCGTTCGCTCACGGACGTTGCGGAATTCATTGCGGGCGTGCCGATCGGGCACGCTTGCGTGCGTGCGTGTGTGCGTGTGTCACGCGTGTGTCGTCGAGCAGCTAAGTGGGCGAGGCGTGTTCTCGTTCACGCTCAGTTACTGCACACGGTGAGAATTGTACACGTGCGCGCGCGTGTGTCCGTGCCTGTGGTACGCGCGCGTGTGTGTGTGTGTGTGTGTGTGCGTGTGTTTTGCGGTGGGAAGAGTGCGCTAGAGCGGAGTGAACGGCGGTGCGTCGATCGCACGATCGCCAACGATGACCGACGACCGGAGTGAGGACGATCCGATAATGGATCTCTGGTATAGTAGCTGGGAACAGCAATGTGCCGAATCGATCGAAGCCGAACCAGACTACGAGAGCCAGCTGCACAATGAGAAGGAAGTCTATTCGCAGCAGATGTGGGCGAGCTTCCAAACTACAGCGTCGGCCATCGCCCAGCTGTACAAAGGCGAGTCTACGTTCCTAGCGATATTACCGCGATGCCCTTTGCTCTCTTTTCGGAGTACATGAGAGCGCTTGTGGCCGCGACGGTGGCCATGCCGTGTCGCGCTGTTACCATCTCCCGTTGACATCCATCTTGTGCGACGTTACGAGAACGATCCGCGTCGTAACACGCATATCGTAACTCTCAACTCGCGATCTTTGTCTCTCGATCAATCGCATCTAGAAGGTTCGCTGTGTGTTCTTTGGCTATCGATTCGATCCGATTTGATCAGATTCGATCGTCTAATCTAACGTTTCGTTCTTTTACAGATCGCACGCTGGGTGTATCTTTGTGGGTACCGTTTCAAACTGCTGCTGGCACTGTCACGTCATTGTACAAAGGTGCATACTCCGTTTGTTCATTTCCGTCGTCACGAGTGTCCACTGAATAACCGTCCATCTATTCTTTACCCTCCTTCCCTATCTTATCGCGTTTCTTCAATGCTTATCTTTGTCTGCTTGTTCTCTTTTTCTTTTTATCATTCTTAAAATCTGAATGTCACATTAAGAACATTCTGTATATTGGTATGTTCTGTGATTGCATATATTTGTGATTGCAAACAAGTACTTGTAACAATTGATGGTCAGGGTCAAGTGTTAGTGGATGCTGATTGCAGTAAGAACACAATTAACATGCAATGAAAGACATAGAAAGTCATGTTAAAGAATTGAGGATTGCTAATTTATTGATTATGATTGATATTGATTATGACACAATATAAAAATTGTTAGATATTATGAAATATATGATTCCTTTTATTTTTGTCACTTGTTTATAAATTATTTATATCTTGTTTATGACAGTTAGATCTTGCATAATATTATTAGATATCAATTATAAAGTCATAATTAATACTGCAAAGCTGAGCAAATAACTTTTTAATATTTGACTGTGAGTAGTTTTTATGTGATTATTAGCTTATATATAGCATATGTCAAGGTTGATTGCCTTAAACTTGTTTGGCATAAAGAATTAAACATAAAATAATTAAATATGTTTGATATAAAAAAATTAAACTTGTTTGAGATAAAAATAATTCAAAATAATTATTGTGATAAGATGTGCCTATGTATATCAGATATTGGTCTAAGATCTGTGTTATTTGCATATATTTTTAAATAATGCTTGTGAAAATTTTTAAATCTATAATACAAGCATTTGCGTAATATGATCTTTGTTGCCTAATTTATCATCTATTTTTGGTTTATTTATAATGGTTTATTTGGGGAGATTTAGGTTTTGCTTAATAAAGATTGTATATATTTGCATATTTATGAACTTGCTAGTACCGGTGTGTGTGTATGTGTGCGCGCGCGCGCGTGTGCGTTATATATATATATATATATTTCATTAATTAAATTTTGTTAAAATAGATTCCATCGATAGCATGAGGCGTTGTAGCGATTTAGGAGTAGAAATGGGAAAGCAAAAACGCAGCAAAGAAATTCTCAATTGGGCGAGAAAAAAAAGACGTATGATACGTAGAGAAGATCTTCTTGCATACTTGGCTGGCAGACCACCGCCACCCCGACCACATTCGCACAGGTTTGTCTTGATTGCAATTCATCTGAAAGATATTACTATCTTATGCCTCAATAACAATAGTCACATTGCTATTATTTGTTATTAAATGAACAAGCAAGTAAATCAATATAGATCATGTTTTTATATAACCTGATGTAATTTGCGGGTGCTACTACAGAAGTTCACCTAAGCCGCGTATGATGGTGTGTGGCTCTCCTCCATCACAGAGCCCAACACCGAGTATGGTTGTCGCTTCAACACCAACATCAGGCAGCGACCCAGATCCCGAGTTACATACATTTAGAGAGGCCATTGCATTATCTGGTACGCTACTCAATGTCGAATTTAATGTTTAAATTTTCTATATATTTGAGTATTTCAAAATTAACCCATAATTGTAATATTTACTTACATAATTGATATCTATATTTAATATGTATCAAGTTCGGACAGAACAAATTCTGAAGAATGTTAAATGTTTTTTTCAGGTTCACCGATGTCTCGACGTAGTGGACGACAAGCTGAACTGTCGGCCTTTATTAACAACGAACTCGCTCGGAATCATAAACGGCCTGCTTCGCACGATGTGGATATGGGATCCCCCACGCACAAACGTATGCGTTTCATGTAACGGCGCGCGACATATAAGGTAGTTATACTCCCTTGATCCCTGTTAATTAATTGATCAATTCGTAACTAAATAGTTCAGCTCCCCTATATAGTTCCCAGTTACGTGTAATTGTTTGAGGAAAACGGTAGTGGTTCACACTGCCAGATAAGCACGTTCGTATGTGTCTCTGTTACCTTCTACTGCCGATTTTAATTTACATGCCATTTAAAAATGATTCAAGTATATCATACTTATGTGTTTCATGGATTATAGGTTACAGTCGTCGCTTAACTGATTCATTTCACGGGAGTTTTTATATTAACAAGATGATGAGGTACGCTAAAACTTCGAATTTCTGATTGTTCTTTAATTTCTCACGATAATGGTTTCATGAAAAAGAAGTTTAAAAGTGCAATTGTGCAACTGTGTATCGTTATCAGTGCATATAGAGCTACCCAAATGAGAGCGCACGAACGTGTCTTAATGCTGTTCAAAGTGCCCACATACGATGATTGGTCTTATTTCATGTGCAAGAGTTTGTATACGAGACTGTCATTTTGTCGATTTATAAATCAATTTGCGAAGAACTAGCCAGACATATAATATCAATCTGAAATATTAAGTCTTTGTATGAACAAGATTGATAAGTATATCGAAATTTGTAGCAGCTGGTAGACATCCTGGTATTTATCAATCATTATCGTCGGCCTGCTACATCACATATGGATGAAATTCTTGATAGATCAAACGAAAATTTTTTTTTCACTATAAACTGATGGCAATTTCTGTCAAATAGGGACAGGGAGAGAAAGAGACAGAGAAGATACGATTGTATTATATCCGTTCGTATATTCCAAGAATTGTTTAGGTCGCTGAATATAATATTGTTGTTATTATATCATGAGCATAGGCAATTAATTTTTTGAGTGCTTTTTGGCGAAATAATACGAAGTAATACGTCGACATTAAAACATTTTATATTATTTGCATCGTTGGTACCTGTGAAGACGAATCAATTATATTATTCGCAATGCTCTCTTAAAATTTATTATAGTAAGAAAGATTTTACACAAGAATATTCTCCGATATAATTTCCATGTTTGTCAAAGCACTTGATCAACCAAAAATATGTTTTTAAAAATATAAAACTGTTTATATGAGTCGGTGGGCCAGGTGCATTGAGAAACGAGGAGTTTATGTTAAAAAAACTTTTTATAAGGTATTTAATGTTGTAATAATTTTTAGAAAGAAATTTTTAACAATAAAGTTTAGTATTGCGAATAGATACATTGATTCATTTCGTAGATACAACGAAAAAAATGGAAATATTAACATATTGGAATATGTCAATAGAATTAAGAATAGTGCAGTGATAAGATTTGTTCGATTTTGATCGCACTCTAAACTTTATTTGTGAAATATTAGAATTGATTTTTGGTTTTCTAAATTCTTGTTAAAATATATCTTATTGTATAGTATATCATCGAGCTACTATCTTTTTTGTATAATATCTATTTAATTATAATTAATTATATTGTTTATGTTACTTGTTTGTACATCCTGTTTTATTTCATATTTCAATATTCAACACTTTTATTTTATCGTACATATTACATTCAAATTGACAAGTCGTCTGAGTTCTCTACTTTCATTTTGTGTAGCCAGAATTTTATGCCATTAGGTATAATTAGAAGATACCGAGATCGAACGTTTCATCTATCAAACATCTGAATAATACTAGTTAAGTGTTACGAGGTATAATTGAAAATTTTCCTAAATATACCTCGTTGCGAATTGTGACGAAGTTGAAAAAAAAAACTAAATTGTGTAATATGAAATTTCAGTTGTGTAAGAAATTATTGTTTTCTAAGAGTTTCTAGAAAATTTAACATTGACATGGTGACGAATAAGCGACGAGACAATGTAATACAGTATAATCCTGTTTTTGTTGATGGACTAGTAGAAAGAGATAAATTATCAAACAAGTGTCAAGTTTTACATCTCGAACAAAGTCTACGTCGATGGTCTATAATAAAAAATGAATTTGTTTTGTTACATCTTTTGGCAGTGTATTTGGCAGTGTCGGAGTAATTTGTTTGCTGTATTATCTCAACTATCTGTCTTATTGAACGTAGGCTTTGTCAAGTAGATGTGATAAAGATTGCAATATATATACATATATATATGTGTGTATATATATATATATATGTATATACAAATACACGTTGGTATATGTATATATATGTTTATATATGTATATATACATGCGTATATATACGTATACATACATGCTCATGTACTTACATACATATATACACACATATATATATATATATATATATATACATAATACAGTGTATTTTATAAAGAAATTGTGTTTAACGATTTGTATCAGTGAGTGAGACGCCGCCCTATCTTAAGATGATGATTGTGAATGTACATTATTTCTAGCTAGTACGCCTCATGCTGCTTCTATTTGAATTTGGAAGACGATTAATTGCGAATAACAAATTGACAAGGCTGTTAAAAGTTGTTATGAGTGTTCATGACGAAATTGCAAGTCGTTACGTACTATGTACGCCTAACTGTGTAACTCCGTCATCTGTTGGACAAGAAAGTTCGCTTAGTCGTCCTTTGAAAATCACGTAGAAGCGCAATATACATTTCTATTCGTTTCCTCGCGAGATAGCTCGCGCGGTATTCATGATAGAAGCAAAGATTGTTGTTCAGTTGTAAATATAGCGTATGCTAATAATGGCAAAAAGATAACCATAGATATATCGCTAATATTATTATCACTACTGATATTGACTACTATGCGATAGCTTTAACAATATTTATCGATGCGATCGGCAGTTAATGAAATCCCAAGGACTTAATCATTGACTTCTGTTTCTTTGAATGATAAGATCGGCGGCGACGCAGGCGAGAGAGTCTTGCACCAGTGAAAAAAAAAGCAACATGCAACAACCGTGGAGAATTTATTTTTCACGAGTGAACCGTTTAGATGTCTACCGTACGCAGATCGAACACAGTCACGGAAGAAAGGTGTCTCTTTCACGCAAGAGTGAACGCGAGAGCCAAATCGAGTCGAGGCTGCTCGACAAATCTGTATGTTGCGCAATTATTCTCACAACACGTTTCTTCCTGACGCCCGTTCCAACTGTCGAAATCTCCTGTGTAAATGTTCTTTTCGTAATTACGATAGAAGAAAGTAATTCGTAACTCTTAGATATATCTCTTACGAAGATGCCATACTTAGGTACACTTTATCCGTAAGTGAGCGCACCAATCTCGGCGGTACGATGTCGAGATAACTCTACAGGCACCGACCTGCCACCGTTCCGTTTCATGTGTTCGTGGTATGTCTCCCGATTGCATAATCAAAACCTTGATCGTAAGATCGCCGGTGGCAATCGTTTAGTTCTTCTTTCGTTAGTGAGTGGCCGGCTCTCGAGTATGCATGCTGCCGTTTTACTGGTGTATGCGCGATTGGCATTTTCTTGGCTTGCATAATGGCCATCTGTGTGCGAGAGACGACACTTCGAGGTCAGCGAAAAGAATTTTCCCACACACGTGGAGCTTTCCCTTTCTCATGGGAGAATTATCTCGTCGGAAATCTGCGGTTACGAGATGTAGCATCATATGCCGCAGTATGCATCAAGCTAATTTGAAATTATCGTATATACAAATTTATTATTTATAATATGATACGTTTATACGACGTATATTTTTATCTTATTTATCTTTTCTTCCTTTTTTTTTTATATGCGATGAGATAATCTTTGCAAGCAGTGCTTTGGGATTATTCGCAGTGCAAACTATATAAGAAATCTTAAAATGTGTAATATATATTTTATATTTGTGTATATTGATTGCCTCGCAACTAGCGATCTTAATTTCAACGATTGATTCTTTGGTGGCTAACGATTTTACTTTAGTGGAATCTACCATTAAAATTGCGTTCGCAAAGATCGCAAGTTTTGAGATATCCTGCACAAAAAGACCTCGATCCGTGGTAATGCAATGTGTATTCCTTTATATTTATGTCGTATAGGAACGTATAGAAACATACTACGTTTGAGTAAGACGACATACTGAAAGATTTTATAAACGGTCGAAATCTCCCTTTATTTATTTTCTCCTTTCTGTTATTACCAGATTCATATCGCTGCAAATTGTGGTGCATTTCCGCGAGAATGAGTGTACCGTGACATGAGACTTGCACGAACATGACGCCTTGATCAGGCACGACGCGTTCATGGCAAGGCGTGAAATGGTGCTGTTACTTTCTTGCGAACATAAGAAGCTTGTATATTTTTGCGCCTCTTGTTTGTAAGATAATCATTTACAAATAAATCACGAGAAAAAAAAGAAGTTACGTGCAGAGGTGTTTTTTCTTTTCTACACTACATGCTTCCTTTCCTGTGCGAATAAAAATTATTCGGTATGCATATATACATATTTTATTGTCACGCATTTCTTTTGTACATTTTGCGTATAATTTCGTATAGTATAATATGCACTATACACACGATTTTATACAAAATCAATATTAGACATAATCTAATCTATATTGCAATTGCATCATCGGAATACGAAAAGTTACACGTCGTTTTATCGTTTTATCTGAAATGTATAGATAAAGTGGGAAATCAGAGAAAGAGAGAGAGAGAGAGAGAGAGAGAGAGAGAGAGAGAGAGAGAACTACAGATGAGTAAAATATCTCTACATACAAACATTCCTATTTAGCAGACAGCTGAAGTACCTATCTATACTTGAAAATGAGCCAAGGTCCAATATTCTATTGTTACAGTATCCCAGCAGCTAATTTTGACGGTTACGCCTCATAAATGATAATGAAATATGAATCCCGATTATCATGCGCAATATGAGACCTATCGGTGATATCCAATAATTACTTCGCACGCGGTTTGATGTATCAATTAATGATAACGTGTATGATTACATTACTCGAGTAAATGTGTGAATTTGGCATTTTTGAAATTCGTGTATAGTACAATAGTACGATGCGTAGACCTAATTGGAATGTAGCACGTTGAGCAGATGTCGGTCAACAGTAACATGCTTTTACAAACATAAACGCCTTATGTTTTATGGCAGTGTGTTGAAAGTTTGTCTGTTTTATTATGGCATATATACTATTTAATTATCTAATGTCATTAATCATAATTTTTTTCTAAGTTTCTTATTTTTCTTGCAATCTTTGTATCACTTGCGTAATTATGATCATAATTTACTGATTGTGTAATATTGATCAATTATAGTAATCTAGTAGAGATCATTTAAATATTTAGTATTCTATGATGGTAAATAGTAGGGAAATATAGTAGATAAATGGTAGGAAAATATACTAGTAGATCTACTATGAAAATTATAAGGCACAAAAGAATTCTGTTAAGAATATTATGATATGTAATAAGAACTGTGCAGATATATTTTTACATTTAAAATAGCACCATCACAATGTATAATTCATTATCCAACCTGCTCGAAGTTTATAATAATTGTAACAAATTTTCATATTTTTCATCCTTTTTTTTTTTTAATTTTACTGATCAATTTTTTGTAATTCGTATGAGAAAATTTCGGTTTTACGTTTGATGATTAAAATCTCTATATTTTCCTGTCTCTAATCTATATTTCCTGCACATATTATTAATAGTTATTTTGTCACATTTGTATGGATGAACGGATAATTTCGTCAATAGCTACTACAAAGCTATTATTATAGCACACTATTTTCACAATCTGCTATCTTTAATGACGCTTTCCGGTGCGCTCAGAGCTTTTTTCCGATTTGCAATCGCGTTGGTAAGCTTTCTCCTGGGACCGAGTGGAAGTTTGAGGGCTGCTATGTCGGTCTCGGTAAGCAGCATGAGAGCTTCCAGATCAATTTGCTCCGACTCCAAGACAGATTGTATTGACATCAGATTATTGGCAACTAAAAATCTTTGTAAGGGTGTCCATTCTTCGTCCGTCTCTTCGCCTTCTATATAACAGATATCAATTTGATATAGTACATTTTTAAATTAGTAAATTTTTAAATTTATAATATGTAATAATTTTCTTCAGTTTATCACACAATGCTTATTTAACTTACCTGAAAGCAAATCCTCGTCCCACAGGCTTTGTCTGCGTGCTAAACTACCGGCACTTCCTATACTGGTCTCCTCGTTATGTCCGTTAGGGCTAAACTTGTTGCTGTTTATGGATCCATTTGCGGAGCCATTCGTAGGAACGTTACCGTTTTGAAACTGAACGTCCGTCTGCGTGACCGGCAGATTGTCCAGCGTAGATGTTATCTGAAAACAAAAATTATGCGTCTCATGCAATGGCAATATTCAGAAAGAAATTAATTAGCTTATCTGCCGCTAATATTTTCTATCTACTCGTCTTTCACTGTAATTACGTCGTCGGTGCATACGATTGTCTCTGTTACGTGGTAATATGGCGCAATCGTTTAGGAGATCGTTAGTGTTTCCGCAACAATTCCCACAACTTGTTTCTTTGTTTCTCTATGGATTCATGACTCAATTGAGGCGGACGATAGCTCTTCTTGTGTTGCGGAGAAAATACACCAGCATAATATTAAAGCGTACTGATTTCTTACCAGTTGGATGTAGTTATTGCGCGCGTAGTCGTGCGGAACGCCTACATTTGCCAGTTTAAGTTTATCATTATAATGCATAAGAAGCGTGACATTAGAATAATTATAAAAACAAGAGACGATAGACTCGAGAAATAATATATACGAGACTCATAATTAAATTTCCGCCAGCTACAACTCGAGTTTATCATTTTCATCCAATTTATATAACTGATCGTTGCAAAACAAACTATTGTTTAAATTTTAAATATTAAGACTAACCGTCCTTCTGAAGGCCACCGACCCGAAACCAGGTCGATTGAAGATGCTTGCTGGTTCCTGAAGGAAAGTGGTGTCCTTCGTAACATTCAGATTCTCTTCCTCCCTGTCCTCTTCCTCCTCGTCGTATATCCTTTCACCTAAGAGGTCGGGCGTGCTCTGCGATTTACTCAGAGTGCCCCACACGTCGGAAATCTTGCCTCTTCTGCCCATGTGTTGAGGCTGAGTATCGTACGTGCCTACATACATAACTTCAGAGTCCCGTCGAACGCCGGTTAAACTTCGAATGGATTTTTTTCCATTTACTTCGACCTGCAATATAATAACGCGTATAATATATTATATAATATATTACTGATTTGCTTTTAACATGCAAATGTAACATTCTACTTTTAAAAGTTAATTCTGAATAATTCGAGATTTTTATATTTCATGAATCGTTGAATTATCTCTTTCTTGAAGCTTCTTTTCTTTTCTTACTTCTACGATCTTAAAGTCATTGATGGCTTTCTTTGCTAAAGCTTTCCGGCAAACTGTGCTGCCGTTTCTCTTTGTGGTGGTACCGACGATGTCGCTGAATGTCGGCGAAGGTTTCATTCGGCCTCTAAAGGTCAGTACTCCGAGCCTCTGGCCGTTCATCTCGTTCATTGTGTCCAAGTCAGATTTAGCACGATCCTTTATGAGTTTTTTTTGCTCCTTCTCTGCTCTCATCTCAGCCATCTTCTGCTTTTTCATGTATTCTTTCAATCTTAACAAACAGATATTTCTTCTATCAATATAAAAACTTTGACGTATTAGAAAAGAAATAATGAGAATCAAAAGAGAAAATAACATAAAAATAAAAAACTTTAGACACATTAATTAATAAATAAAGACTAGACAATCTTTACATTTATAAAAGTTAATGTTATAAAATTATATAACAATGTCTCTAATTCGATAATTCATTTGTGCATTCATCATAAGGAAGATATTTTGAAATAAAATTAGATAAATGGAGAGCAACCTAAGCTAGTTGAAAATTACTTTGAAAATTAATTCAGATTGGTAACTCTATAACGCTGATGAATCGTCATGTTTGTCTAAAAAAGTTCAATACATTACGATTCAATATAACAGAACAATTTGCTGGCTGTAGGAATGCAAAAAGAAGAATTGAAACCCTGTGCAATCATCTATGTTCTATCGTAGGAGCACGATTCTACTGTACGATCCGTGAAGCTCTGCGATATTATTCTCTCGCAGGCGATGCAAAAACAATTCGCATTCCAGCTACACCTCTTCTCCGCATCCTTCTCCGCCTTTTCCCGAAGCAGCCGGCTTTTCTTGCGATTGTTCAGTTCCTGATCGGCCTGAGCGAGATCCAAGAACTGCAGGATTCTCTCGCAGCCGTTGATTGCTGCGAGTTCCCTGGCAGAATGTCGATCGATGTCCAGCGACCAGATATTACATCCGAATTTCACTAAGAACTTCACGCAGAATTCATGGCCCCTCGCCGCTGCCAGATGTAGGCAAGTGTTGCCGAAATAATCGGTTTTGTCCGGATCGCCTCTATAATAAAACGATAACATTACATCAATACGAAGGACAGACAGACCGTTCAAATTTTATGAAAAAGGATGATAAAATCTCAAAGTTGTTGTGATAATAAACGTAACATAGATATAACTAGTATATAATATTAAGATAAGATTTCTCGCGTATTTAAAACGCATATTTGGAAACTAAGGTATTGAAGCAATTTACAAATAATTAATTATAATTCATTATTAAACCTGAAAAATTGGCGCCTTTGCAATGGCGCATTGATAAATCGCAATCGTACTATACTGCAACAATTGTACCGAATTAAACATAATTATTGAGAACCAATTAATCTGAATAGATACATAGCGGAACAGAGAAGTTGCATCTCGATTTTATTAAAGAATTGAGAAAGCCGCACATCTTTATCGTTTTAAATTATAGTCGCGTGGCGGGAATTATAGGATTCATTTTTCGGCGGCGGATGCGTCGTCTACACGGCGGTTTGTTTCCGCCGTTCCGCGGTCCGGTTCGCGCCGTTTCTCCATCAGAGCCGATTTTCCAAAGTTTTACCGAGCTTCAAGGCGCCTCCGTTCAGGTGAGATCTCGTCGTCCGTTCGTCTCGGTCGAATCACTCCGGCATAAAATGAAGCGGCCAGTTATCTTGCTCGTTGATACTAATAGATTAGTCGCGCACTTATCTTAAATCACGATTGTGCGACACAAGTCGCGGGGGGTTGCGACTTCTCAGTTGCAGCTAGGTCTATGTAGTTGTAACGGTCATTCCGCGTTTCGCTGTTCCGTTGGTTGATCTAAGAATTTGGCGGTCCTTTTTCGCAGAACTTTCGAGAAGGGAGGGTCGTTCCCGGGCTCACGGCGATTGTTTCTTGGTTTTAACCCCATTCAAAAGACGCGGCGGACGATGTCGATCGTCAATTATCTGGTATGTATGCAATCAGCTGTCTAACGATTGTAATACGTGTGTAGCGAGTATTAAACTTGTACCAGCAATTCGGGCAGGCGAAAACGATATCACGAAATCCGTTGTCCGCCATATTGGGGTCATTGCCGTTGCATTGATTATTTGTGATCAATATCGATATGTTCATTCGGAACATCTTCTCAAGTAGACGAGTGACAAGTGGAAGCGCATGTTGTTTATTTATTATGTAGTGCATTTATTATATACTGCACTGATTGCACCGCGGGGGGTACGCTTCGTCGGCCCACTATTTTGTCACGTATATACAGCTCATTGTCTTTCGTGCGCTCGACCGCGATTTCCGCTATTGTGCAGTCGATGGACACCTGTAATGCGTGTTTCCTGTTTCCAGCATATGTTGTCGATCGTAATATACGAAAGCAGAGTGAGGAACTTGGGGGACGGAGAGTGCTTGCAGGAACGAAGAATGTCGATGGGAGTTTGCATCGGAAACGTTTTTACTTTCAGTGTCTGTTCGACGTCGGTATAATTTCGGTAAATATGGATTTTCAATGTGGTAGACATGAAGATAATCCCCGTGATTATTTGCACTGAGACAAATAAAGTGGTTAACTATGTAAAATATGTTTTCGTGTACCGAAATTATCCATGATTGGTATAAAATTATATTTGATTCTTATCATGTATGCCAGAAATATGATTACCATCAATGGTAAATATCTGCAGATGTAATTATCCATCTAATTATCTTGTATGCAAAACGCTTGCTTGCATGATGGTTGGAGAAAGTTCTGTGAAGCATTGAGAGATACAACTTTTTTAATATTTTGCGGCATAAAAGGCAGCTAATTTGCATTGTGATTTATAAAGGCTATTGTTCTTGTAAAATATATTAATTAGAAGACCTAATAATTGCACAATTTGTGAGTATAATTGTCTGTTATGTAATCATTTAATTATGCATCTAATCATTTCAAACACTACATGAACTTGTGAATGATACAAAGTAATTATCAAGTTATAAATCATCATCAGATCATAATTATGATCAATATCTTTATAATTTTGTATTTGTATTTTGTAATAATTATTTTGTCTCATTTACAAGTTACTATATATTCTTCCTACAATGATTAGAGACATGCTCAGATAAGAGACAATTATACTGATGAATCTAATATATTTTATCTAATATAATTATCAGATCTTTTGTAATAATAATCAAGTTTATAAATAGTTACGAATACATTATAAATTATAGTTTTTTATAAAATTTGATTTATGAAATTTAATTATTTTATAAGAATATCTTTGTGTAGAAGGTCAAATTATCTGGACTAATTGATTTAATTAATTAAATAAGCTAATATAGTCCGCAACTAATTGCAATTTATTTCCAGATTGTGGTGGACTATCAGAAATTAATGCAGTTTTCAACGCTCTGTTGTGAAGATTTACAAATGTTCTACGGGTGTTCGTGATATGTCGCCGGAAACATCCTGAGAGACTCCCTGCATTTTGGAGCTGGCACGAGTGGAAGGTCCCCCGCATGTTCGGTGAGTGTAATTATCAGGCACCAGTGTAGTGGGGCTGTCGTGCTCATGGGGCACGACGACCTCGTGCCTGATGGGCAGCCGTGTCTCGTATGAGTGGTTAAAACGCAAAGTTACATTTGTCGCCGAATGCGCCAAATGCACCGAATCCGCAACTCGCAATGTAATTTCTCATTAATCCTGGCATAACTTAATATTATTTTTTACTTTTTGCTATTGGACATGCAATTCTTACATGATGACTTTCATGCGGTTTTATTGTGTTTTCAAAATTTCCTTTGTGTTTTGTGAGACGAATACATAATAGAAATTCTTAATATTTGGAAATTTATTATATCAAATTCTTATATCTATATTTATATATCTATATACATGTATATTTATATTTCTATATATATTTCTATATTTCTATATACATTTCTTATATAAAGATTCATATTTACACGATATATTCCTGTTATATGATTAAATGCTCGGGAACGCAATTTTGAAAAAAAAGTAATAAAAAATGTCCTCTTAAAATTCGTGTATAGAATTCATTGACGATTGAGTAATTAGTTAAATATTACATAAATGTAAATTAGTAATTCATTTGATTGTGATTTCCAAATAATAGCTACTATTATCTATTTATCCCATTGCGCATTCGGCTCGACAATAAGTCGTGATGACTAGATGTATTATTTGTGGTTCGGCAAGAATGTCTCATCGTATATCAGCCATCGTGTGCTATTGTAAGGTATAGTCGCGTGCGTTTATGGTTGCGGTGCACCCGCATTCACGGGGAGAACCCTCCTGACACGCGATTCACCGATTCTTTTCGTTCTTTCACAAAATAAAACGATCGATCCGCGCTACCGGCTGTGTAAGCGTGAAGACATGCTTCTTAATTATTACAAAGAAAGTTTTCGGATATTGAATGTAAGCGCCATTAACGCACGCAAGTATATAACACTTGCCGATCATTCACTTAGTCACGGCAAATGGAACAAAAGGAAATATTAGGCACGCATACCCTCTGGCGACCAGCAGTCTCAGGGCATCTATGTGACCTTCGAAGGCTGCCCATAATGTCGGGGTCATTCCTCCTTCGTCTCGCGCATTACAATCCTTTCTCGTAGCTTCCTTCAGAACGTCCAACGCGCCGTCTCGCGCGGCCCTTTGGCAAAGAGAAGCCTGTGCATTATACTATTCTTTGTTCGATCTGCTAGATGTTCTCGAGCAATTCTCGCAACTTGTTCCGATCGTCGCTAAAGATCGGAAGGATTCATTAAAAGTATCGAAGTGGATATAGACTTTAAATTACTTTTAATGAATTATGTTGGAAAGCAGATGTAGATAATAGTAGGAATCCGTGGATTTGTTGATACATGATTATTAGTGATAATTTTAATTATTAAGTAAAAAAGAATCTGTAGAATTTCAAAAAACTTATTTGGTTTGCACTAATTGTAATGTCATTGCATTTTACATTGCATGTGTTCTTTGTTGATAATTACATGCATAAATTATGATTTGATCAGACTATTACAATTGATGTTTAAGATGATATTATAGCACATTATTACACTGTTAAATGGACGATAACGTGAAGTTAATGAGTTTATACTTGAGAGCATCGTGGATATAGTCAAATTAAGTTAACGAGTTTACTCGAGACTATCCATCTCGAACAATTAAATTCAATTTTGTAACTTAAGGTTTTACATGCACAGGTACATATGTGTCTGGAGTACTTTCTATATACATATGTGATCTGTGTGTGTGTGTGTGGAATACTTTCTGTACATTATCTTAATACATGTGATATAGCATGCACAAGACTTTCAGAAAAATGCAACGTCTACAGCAAAATGCCTGAACATTCGTAAGTAAATTAGTACACTGAGCCTATAACGTACGTGCACTTAAGAGCGTGCTTAAAAGGCTTAAAAAGTATTTATGCTGTCGTAATGCTTGATTTATTCTTAACACTTGCACCGCCGTTAATAATGAAAGCATATTTTTGCTTATCCGAAGCACAGCGTTGCGAAAGCTGATCTGTTATTTTATTATACGACACATCACCGTGTGTCTTACGTTTCAATCGGATTGTTTTCTAATTACTCTCGCGTTTCTCGGAAGAGAATCGTGAACAGAAACCTCCGCGAAGTAGTTATATATGTATATAAATATCCACGCGTCACAATATCAGATTATTCTGTCGCTTGCGGATACGTTTTTCTCGCGCGACATGATATTTTAATTATAAGTTAAATTATATATACAACACGCGACACGAGCGATATTCGCGGTTTCTCTCCTTTTAATTAGGGAAATTGGAATGTGTTAAGGCAAATATGCGCACTTTGCGGTTACCGAGGCGAGACACAATGCGCGACTTTCGCGTCTCGCGTTCTGCGAAAAATAATTTTCGCGTGCCAACGTTCATTTCTGGTACGGGCGTTTTTCCGCTGCCTGGACGATATCGTCGAATAACAGCGTTAGCACGAGCTTGGAATTTCTCTACCGAGAAATGATCCGGTTAATAAATCCATACCGAATAAAACAAGAGCACGAGCCTCTTCTCTCATGTATAAATTCCGCACGCGCTTTGTTGAGATGCGCACGCCGTGCCGCAATTGAAACAGCCTGTGATCACGGTTATTCCGGGTTTATAGATAATTAGATATTTGGAAATTTTTTATCTCTTTATTTAATATACTTTATGTATCACTTCACGCGATCGCTATCGCCCTTTTTTACCTATCCGATGATACTAACGAGCGTGTTAAAGCATCATATGTCAATGATCGCGTGACGCTTAGTTTGCCCCAATTTATTTTAACAACTTGTTAATGTTTGTGCTTCAATTGTACAATGTCACTTTTTTTTTTTTAATATCTGTCGTTCGTGATTGTCTATGAACACGAGCAAAAGATCGTTATTGGCCCATCCCTAATAACTTAAACGAATAGTAGAACAGCTCAGTAAATCGTGTTAAATATTTTTGCGAATTGTATACCAGCAAGATCTTTTCAAATGTTGCATTATTCGAGCAAAATTGAATTTGTAATCGTGACGAAAACGCAGAGTCTTTTGTGTAATCGATTAATGATCGCGTTGTTCTATCGCGTTCATGTTTTTTGTGATACGATATGAGATGAAATATCGAGGAGCAGCGATGCGCATTAAAAAGGAAAATTCCGATTGTTCAGTTTGTGAATTTGATCCATGCTGGTGTTCGCGCGAATCTTCAGGTGTACTACCTCTTTAACCGCTATTCCCCTTGCACTATTGAATCGCTTCGCGCGATCGAGCGCGCAGTCGACTCGGAGATTTTTTCAATTCCAAGGCGAGTACCTCGCCCCACGACATTTCTCCGCTTTCCGGACCCCGGGACAAGTCCTACGTGCGAGCGTGCGTATAAAAACAAGAGCAAAGAAAATGATGTAGGGAGTCGCGCGTATACACGCGCACGCACACACATATGCACATGTGTACACACACACACGCATATATTCTCGCATACACGCACGTGACACATAAAAATCCACTCACTTGTGAAATCGCTCCGAAGACATCTTTCCGTGCGTCGTTCGCTCCTTCGCCGCTTGGTATCTGCTTTACCGAGACATCGTTCGTAACTTGGGAAACACTCGACGCGTTCCTCGCGCGAATCGAAACGCGAGAAAGATAGAATTGCGGTATCAAGTGGCGCGACGCGGAGACGAACCGCCTGCCGAGTTTAGCGTTCGGCAGTGCACTGCTCGAGCGAGCGGCAAGTTACACCTGGAACACCGGACTGTAGGTTCTCCTCTCTCTTTTTACTTCGATTATCCCTCCTATTCCGATAACTTCCTCCCGCTCTTGCTCCCGAAGACTCGCCACATGTCTGCGTTCTCGTTCGAACATGTATCCGCCACCTGGGGCCCGTTCTGCAGAACTGCGCGAATCAACTTGATCGGTCCGAATTCAAACCACGTGCGTGAACGCGTTAACTGACATTTTCTTTCTCTTTTTTAATATCATGTATTTCTCTGCTTCCGGGATTACACTCTCGCGGTAACTATCGGGTGTTTGCGAGTCGAGTAACATCTCTAATTAAGATTTGAGATAAGATCGTTGAGGTTATAATTACATGCTGGTGAAAGCAGGTACTCCTCGCAGAGAGTGGCACTAGTTTTGTTAGGAATGTGAATAGCTGCTTGGACGTTATTAATTGATCGGCATTCAAACGAATCGTGCTATTTTGAATTTTGAATTAAGGCTGCAGGTGGAAGAAAGTGCAACGAATCTGACTTATTTTATGTAGATCTCCGTATGACTGGAATAGTTTTATTTGGAAAAAAACAGCTGTTTTTGGTCCTGGATTTTTTTTTGTTTTTTATTGATATGTCACAACAATTAGCATGCAAGGGTTACACTGATTTAAAAATTTCACACTGACGCTTATCTGTTCAGGCATGTTCATTAACTATACAAGAATTAGTACCGACCGTAGTTTATCCGGTAAATTCTGAACTTTTCAGAGAGAAAGATATGTTGTAACGTTGCAAACGATATCGTTGAATTTCTCAAATAGATTCAAATACTTGTAATATTTGATTGTCGCCGCGAAAAATTTCTGAAACAATTTATACATATATTTTTTTCTCTTATCAACATATCGATCAAGTTATAAATGTGAAAGTTGAAATAAATCAAATTATTTTTTCTTTTAAGGAAATGTTTGTATTTATCATTTTTGATAAGTTTTGAATCGCGCTTGGCTATTTACTTCTCAATTTGAGATAGTTGTTGTTGATCAACAAGTACTTTTGTAAGAAACGTTACTTAATAGTATTGTTTCTCATTGAGTTATATATCTCGATCACAGTTTGATTATGTTTACTTTGTTAATTATTAGTTATACGCTTTACACAAGTTTCTACAGAACGACAACCGTAATCACAACTTATTATTCTTTACTATGTAAAACAGCAGTTAACAGACGCTGGGGGCCGCTTCAACGAGGGGTTAGAAAATTATGAAAGACGTTAGTCTCCGTTCGCAGTTTTTCATACATTTCTTTTTTTAGTATTACTAATTTTACATTTCTGGTAGAAAAATACCAGATTGCTTTAAGAGGATTATTATATCTGTCAATATCTATCTCGATATCTGTTGATATCCTCAATTCGTTACGATTTACGATATATCAACAATATTGCATATGATGATTGCATTTTTCTTATTACATTTTTTTTTTTTTATTTTACATATCTTCTATATTAGAAAGCAACTGAGATCGAGTGTAGAGTGAAGATATTAATAGATTTTCAATCAACAACGTATTCGAACACTGTTCACATATAAGCAGTCAGGACAGATATAAGTTTCCGTCAATCTCTTCGACCTTAATTCTAACATCTAATTCTGATCTTCTGATTAAAAATTACCGAATCAATTTAAAGGTAAATTGTCTTCTCAGCGTAAAGAGAGATATATTTTTTAGAAAATTTTACAGTTCAAGATACGAAAATATCTAATTATAAATGTAAGCAAGTTGCAAAAAATGCGACGATGTTTTTCGGAATTATTCCTAAAGAATAACGCATCCTAGGTTTTTCAAGAAATCTGATATTGAAATTAAGGTCGTGGAGATTTTGAGATGGCCTGTATATTTTGTCTAACTGACAAATGTATAAATCATAATTTATACAGCTCCAGTAAGATCCTAAACGAGAATTTTTTCGTTTGTGAAAATGCAGCAAAGATAACCATCATAGTAACACGCAACAAATAAGAACCACACTCTCAGGCGAGTTAGTTTATCAGAAGGCAGGTGTATATTTTCCTCAAGCCAGACGCTTGTTAAAACGAAAACAATCGCGATCTTTGTCGATATTGACTGATCGTTAATATATATAATCAACATTGTACGAGCTATTATATATCGCCGTGTGGATATAAAAATATATTACACGCGCGGCTAAGCCGTCACTTTATTACGAATAACTGTTGTGCTCGACGCCGTTGTAAAGAAGAGAGGTGTCGAGCTTTGCTAGAAATTTTATATATTTCATTTTTTTCTTTTCATCGGTCGGCGCGGAGCTGAACGTATCGAAAAGTTTTCCGAGATTGTCGTGTTCGTCAAATTTACATAAGGTCTATGACTCTGTCGACTAATGTTTCACGAGAAAGTACGAGATATAGGCCGCAGTTTCGTGTACATTTCGCGGCAAACACGTTAACAACAGATTGGAGGAAACCTGAGATCTGTAAACGTTCAGTTCCCATATATGTTTCATGCTTCGGTTTCAAGAAAAGTCTTAAAGATACTCTCGGTGATACACAATGAAATCTTAACTCACAAATATTCCTCACCGAGCTCCATTAAAACATTTTACTAAAAACCTCATATATTTGCCGTAAATTATATACAGAGTTGTCCAATTATCGCGCATTTTAAGTGTGTTGCTTGTACGTAGTCGGTTATAAATTTTTAGTAGATTAAAAATCTATCAAAATTCTATTTGCAACTCAATGAAGAGTAACATTCTGAATCTATTCTTGCATCTCTTGAAATTTAACAAAATTAATATGCGCCGTCTGGGACACTCTGCAGTTATTTTTTATTTTTTTTTTAATGTCGCTTTCTACGACCCAAGGTTTATATTTAATCCCGCCACACATTCCTTCGAAATATTTACAAGTGAATGTCATGTTACGTTGCGTTCTTCATTCATTACGGGTACAAAAACCTTTTCGGTGTGCGTAATTACACGTCTGCATTTCAACGAGTTTCTACCTTACATTAGGTTTACTATCACGTCTATGCGCTACGTCAAAATTTGTCGGTAACAATTATTTGTCATCATTGTGGCAAATGTTACTACATTCGTCGCCCTCTGACGGAAGACGACGCTGATAGAAAACGATTGTCTCGTTACAAAACGCAATTCGAACGTGATCTCGTTATTACTTATGCCGTGTTAAATCTTATATCGTTGAGCATGTTTTGCGACATGTCGCGTTAAAAAGACAATCGCGTTCGACCGACTGCGACAGCAATCGCTATAATTCCTCCTAAGGTCCCGCTAGGAGATTACCAGCGATACCGACTGTCATCAGTTCCCAATTGCTTCGCGAATGTCGCGCGTTATTTTCCCCAGAATATTCTGGGTGTGCTGCGTATTAATCCCCAAGAACATTCTCGGTCTCTTCACACTTCGTCGTCCTCTATGTACAAAGTCGCCTCGTATTTCTCATTATCGACTTGCTGAGAATCGCGTACCATCTTCTCGTCGACGATCGTTGATGAGTCCACGATCTCGGCGATGCTTGTAGGACTTTGATTATGTGTCATCGCGCCTGTTCTCTCGTTCAGCGGCTTGCGCGTTCCACACTTATCGTCGTCGTCGTCGTCGTCGTCGTCGTCGTCGTCGTCGTCGTCGTCGTCGCCGTCGTCGTCGAGATCATCGCCAGAACTCTCCACGTCAATCTCCGTGACATTCTCCAGTTCCGGTTCTTCGAGCAGCATGTCGGCCTCTGTTGGCCCGTCGGACGACGCAGCGGCAGGACTCACGTCTTCAATATCCACCACATGACTTTCATCAGAGTTGTCACCGCGGCTCTCTTCGGTGTCGAGGGACACTGTCGTAAAATACTTTTGTTCGAAATCGCCTTCCACGACGGCCTGGGTGTTCAAGGAGTGTCGACTCGATTGAGGGTCTCTGGGGTGTCTATCGAAGGATCGTCTCCTGTTGTCATCCGATCTGGAATGGTGCAGCTTAGGATGACGCGACTGTCTTCGTAGATTCTCCCCGCTACTCGTACGTGATCTTATATCCGTCTCATCAAGCATATACCGGGTACAGTCGACGCTGAATCGATCTATCGAAAGCTTCCTGTAAATTCGATTGGAAAGATTAGGAATCTTTGTATTTTATTGTATAAGACGTAGATTTACAATTAGATATGTAGAAGTTGAATTTTCGTTACCTGTAATCTCCTCTTCGAAAGTCGGGACTTCTTCGAAATTCTAGACTGGCCTTTCGATGTCCCATCGTTCTGTCAAAGCGACGATCACCGCCGATTCTGTCGAAGGACATTTTACGGAAGTTGGGTGATGAGATCTTTCGAAAGTCTCGCGGCGAGACCTTACCAAATTCCTTCGACACCGCCGTCAATTCCTCCAGCAACCTTAAGTCTATTGAGTTTCTCTTCCTTGGCACAAAGTCGTCCGGATATCTACAGTAAGTACCTGATCGAGATGTTCATGATTATTGCAATTGTCAATTAGGGAACATTTGTTTTAGCTAACTATTTTATCCAAGAAACGAATTAAAATTCATGTCGAGAATTGCCTTTTTACAAAATTAATGATTCTTGACCCTCAGTCACTTGTTTTATCAAGAATCATTTGGTGAAGGAAGATTTAATAGACTTTCGCCTTTGTAAATTTTTTGAACTATATCCGTTGAAGAGTAATAACTAAATTTCGTACTTTTGTTTGTATTTACCTGGCAATTTAGGCGAGTGAACGAGAGTTGGTGGTTGTCGCACGGCTTCGTCAACTTCCTCGACGTCCTCCACTTTTGTCTGACGCAGCAGTTGATGACGCCTCGCTGTGTCGGATCGGTCCTTCACTTTGAGCGTAACAGGACCTTTATTCGGGATGTGCAGATCCATCGCCATTGAAACTTGACTACCGCTCATCTTCTGATGTTCTAGGCTCTCTCTACTCATCTGTTACAAGCAAAAACAATTTTAGGTTGACCATGTTTGCGAGTAACAATGTCTCGAGAATGTTAGTCCCTTTTTTTCTTTTACCTGATGCGGACTGTAGCTCGGGTTGTCGACTGAGAGAGCGTGTCTTTGCAGCAATTCTGGATTTAACAGCGAACAAGCGGCGTATTTAGGCGATTTTTGACGCGGTGACTTTTTGTCGATCAATGTCGGAGCGCTCGGGCTCTTCTTTATGGAGTGCGCTACTCCTTTCTCTCGCAGGTCCTTCGAGAATTGCATGAATTCTGCCGTCAGCTGTTTCCTGGAGACCTCGTGTGTACTGGGACTCGGGCTGCGGTTCACTCTGAAAAGCCCCAACTGGTGGTCCCACTTTGTCGTCTGGCTCGATGTTGATCTTCTGTTGCGTTGGCTTTTCGAGCTCTTGAGTGTGGATGTCTGGTTGAAGCGGAAACGTGCCGGCACTACCTTGGCGGCACTATCGCGAGCTTCGAAGGTCATTACGCAAGCAGCTACTACAATGAAACCTGGAAACATTATTGTTTGCGCGTGAATAAGATTAAAGCATAAATTATTCTACTCTTTAAGTAAAGTTGTAAATTTCTTTCTACAACATCGGAAATTGTTGCCAGTATAACTGTGTAAAAAAATGTGAATTTCGAAAAAAATCGCGATGGTGGGAGAGAGAGGGTAACTATATTGTACATTTAAAATGTTTTTCAAAACAATGATATTCAGGTACAACATGAAACCTGCACGACGCCTGTATCTGAGGTTTCACGGCGATAATCGACCGTGAGCCTCCATAGCTCAGGGGTTAGAGCACTGGTCTTGTAAACCAGGGGTCGAGAGTTCAAATCTCTCTGGGGGCAGCTTTTTTTTCTCTCGTTTTTATTGAGTGTTCTCATTCGACCGTGTGTTGCCGCATTTTTCGCGTTTCGCCTACAATTTTCCGCTCTATATCCGTAACATTATTCGCTATTTTTATTTATAGCTATTTTCGATTTCCATGACCTCCCGCGTTTGCAGAAACTAGTGTATCTCTAATTTTACATCGAATTTTACGTCGAAAAACATCAAATGACAGATTGCAAGGCGTTAGTAAGAGTATTGTTGGCACAAAGAGAAGAAAAAAATAAATTATAATTATACCTTATTATATCGTGCTTGTTCCACGGTACGAATTTAATAAGTGTATGTGTTTCGCAACGGAAAAACGCAAACGTCGAGATAGCTCTCTGATCCGCGTAGAATCTTTTTCTGCGGTATTATTATATCATATTACGTAATAATTTTATCGATTTATGTGTCATATCACGTGGGATCACGTGGAATTATATGGACGTATAGCGACGTATATCGTCCCGTGTAATGTTTATATACATTTTGCGCCATCGTATATATCTATTATCGCGTAATTACCGTTTCACGAGGATCAGTGTCACGTAACTAGTCGTCATGTAATCAATCACGTAACTAGCCACTTGGCCGAGCGTGTAAATTGTGCGCATAAATTGTGCAATGTATGTTAACTATTATTACCTCCTACACCCATAACGATGGGACCGGCGTAGCTCAGATTATTCAGGTGAAATCCGCGCGACTCGTTCTTCACTTTTATCGTGAGATTACCTCTGATCTCCTGCGCCACCGACAGCTGATCCGCATAATATCCTATTCAACGAAACAATAGAAAAGGATATGAATAAAGGGGGATGGAGCTCCACTGTTGATTTGAGACACATTACTCTTTCGCGCTTGCTCAAAACGCGTTTCGTGTCAATCGCGGACTTCTGGACATCTGATGTGGCATAAATATTTGGTATATATATTTCTTGATATCCGCAGAATATTCAGAAATCTAAGTATTGCGAGCCGTTTGGTGCTACATGGGGATGTCCAAGTGTATCTGGTACAGATGTATGAAGATACGTTTATTTTGTATAAGAGTGGAAAATTGTTCTCAGAGATGTATTCTGACTGACTTGAAATTCAATTCATGCACGTAGGCATAAATAGGCGTGTGATACAGGCTTGTGCGCAATAAATAAAAGGATTAGCTCGCTCGCGATCCATGCGTGGGCGTTATAAAATAAGACATCGAAAGATTGATCTATCGCACTTTAGACGACGAGCAAAACACAAGATCGCCTTGCGCGGAATCCTTCGAATCTTGGGCATTAGATGGACGATAGGAATTGCATCGCACGTGGTTGCGATGTTTGCAAAGTGCATTTTGCGGTTACCCTTAAGCAATTAGTGGCTCAGACGCCAAGGCGGAACAGTATGTACGGACCGATGTTTAATTTACATAATTCTACTCACCTATAGTCGCCATGCAAGCTCCTAAAAGCATTAGCAGCAGCCCAATTCCGAGAGCTTTGCAGGCGTGCCACAAGCACCGCGTTGTCACCTTGCCTCTCACCACCTGTTCGATTTAATTGCCGCCGTTAACAGTTAATAAACCTGGACGACGGTCCAGTTGTTTATCAGCCGTAGGTGGCAAACGCACGTACGGCCGTCTTTATACGGTGCCGTTAAATCGATCAGTACGATTTACGAGATTGCGCTACGCTGTAGTAATAGCGTAATAACGCTCTTCTCTTTCTCTCTCTCACACACACACACACACACACTCTCTCTCTCTCTCTCTCTCTCTCTCTCTCTCTCTCTCTCTCTCTCGGTACTGGGTAACGATGAGCGAAATGTTTCGTGTGGTGTAATCTAAATCACTGGGTTGTGACAGGATACAATCGCTACGTAAAGTGCTAGAATGCTCAATTCAATCGGAGACTAATTAAAGAGAGATAGCGTTTTATCTACGAGCGTTTGTCGTCGAGAATAGTTGACGTATATTTACAAAACTGTCGTTTATGTGCGTGTAGGTGGTGGGTGATTATTAAAGATATAGTGAGATTTTCGTGAATATCTTCGAGAGCAGATCTCATCTCATCGAGAGCTGAGAGAGCGATAGGTTATTTCGTGAGGGTTGAGACGACGTGTGACTGTGCTGTTTGCGTTCGTCTCGTGTAAAATTCGCGCATTGTGCGTGTTCCACCGTTGGTAGTAATTTCTGCAGGCGTTCATAGACAATAAAATTTGTGAACGTGCTAGAGAGATGATAAGAGTTACGGATACGTTGTACCTACTGGCACGTACATGCTCTCTACGTATATGCGTACTATTGGGCTCTCTCTACGGCTGATATTTCCCCATCGGCGGCGGTCTACTCTCCCTAATACGAGTAGTTACGCTAACGAGGCCGATAAAGAGTTTCGGCTACGCGAAATGATGACGTATCGCTCTACTCGGTATCGACCTCGAAGTTTTATAAGCAAGACGAAAAAGGATGTACCTGTACATTCCAGTTAGCCCCAGGTCCGCAGGCTCTTCTCTGCGTCCCCTGCCATTGAATGCTTCCTTGTGGCATACTGCGCTCACAAAAGTTCACGTTTGTAAGATCGTTGTGATGTGAAAGTACGAGCTGAGGGTAATTGAAAATGCTAAATTCCAATATGCATTAATATCATATAGGGACGAAATAGTACCGCGTCGGTTATAATAATGCTTCATATTCCGATAAAGACTATGATTTATTAGTTGCTCAACATTATCGTTGACATCATAGTTTGCAGCATAACGAGATGGTTAAACCTCTGAGAAATACGACTCGATTAAAAATAACTTTATGATAGAGGATTGAAATTAAAAGAACAAGGGAAAACTCTTAAACTTGTTAAACTCGTCAACTTGTTAAAAGTTTGTCGAGTAGCACTTGAAACAATCTCGAGACGCGTGCAGCTCGTTGTTGTATAATATGATGTGAAGAATTGGCGTAACGTGATGGATATGTCATTTTAAGCCAATAGATCAATAAAACTTTTTTTTTCGACACGACATATTAAGAAGATGAAACTTCGGCATTATTGTGGAAAATATTGGCGTTCGATAATTCGGTAAAAATTTGATAAATAATTGGTAAAAATTTCATATCTTTATCTCCGTCTTGCAGTCTCTTTTCATTCTTTTCCACCTGCCCCCGTTGGCAACGAAGGGGTGTAACTATCGCGCAAGTTTGTTAATTAGTAATTTCAAATTCATCTCGCGGTATATCATACGCGTGATCTTTCATTATGCCTCCTTGCAAAGTGACGTTCTGCGTCGTCGTTTTAATTTGACGTACGCACACCAACGCTCGGTGTATGATTGTTAACACATTGAAATTTACGTGTGTATCTGTACGTCTAAGTATCTCCCACATTCGCACCGCTATTTGAAACCATGCACAATGTGTGTATGTGAATTATCTGACTACTATGTCACTAGTGTGCATTGCTCTCTCTTTCTCTCTTTTCCCTTCTCTCTCTCTCTCTCTCTCTCTCTCTCTCTCTCTCTCTCTCTCTCTCGCGTACTGCGGATACAGAGGCGCATTGTTCACGTGCCTGTGCTTGCTACATTTCGTCTTTCAACGTCGAAACTTCGCGCGTCCTATCGATTCGGATCCCTCTTTACACTTTCCAACACGACCCTTCTTCGTGTCTCGAAAGTTGGTCATTTTCGTCTGCTAGACTCGAGGCAGAGATAACTCGAGTTGAAGTTTTAGTCCTACATTAACGTTATTAATTTTGTTAAACTTGAACCAATCATCGATCCTCCGGTATAATATTCATCTCGCGCGTTTTGTCTTGATGATACAAATAGTTATTTAATGTTTTTCTTTTTTTTAAATTAACGAAGGATTTATTTTTTAGGGTTATTCAATATACGATTTATCTCAATAGTCTATATTTCATCTTTATTATTAACTTTGATTAATTAATTTACCTGCAAATAGAACGTATAAAATAAGCAAGTATTAAATAAACTAAGAAATATTAGTGGGTGAATGAAACAAATTTTTTTTTTATAATTTCAATTTTCTTTTTAATTAGGATTGGAAATTTCGATACAATTTGCGAATTCAAAAAAAGGGAAAAGGGAGGAGTTTTTAAGACAAGGATAACAGTTACGTTCACAATAATGTTGAGCATCGATTGAAATTTCTCTTTATATTTGGATTATACAATAAAACTGTCCCCGTAAATAAAAATAGAAAAAGAACGTTGATCAATTAAAGAGGAAGTTACGGCTTAAACAACGTGCTAGACGCACAAATCAGTATTTACGAGACTTACACTGGGTTGTAAAGCGGGTATCTATATGTAGCTGAAAATTATTTATGATTGAGAGCATAATTCCAGATTTGTTTCCATGAATCGGTTGTTTATATTCACATTTCGTATATGAAATAAGTAAACTATTCGTGTTTTATCGTTTAGGATCTTTCATTCTGGTTTCTTGATTCAGAATCTTGTTACCTGGTTACTCTCTTGGCATTCCGGACATTAGTCCATGACACTGATACTTATATAGATACGATTTATCAGAAGAAACGTCAGGTAATTAAGGCCATGTCGATGTGAAAATTCGGTCGAGTATTTCAAGAGCCGAGAAAATATTTTAATCACTCGACGGGAATTCTGATTCGCTAATCCGTGATGTGATAATATAACATTAATTTCTACGAAAGAATACGCGCGACGCGCGAGAGAACCAAAACAATGCGCAAAAAGCGCTACGTCATCCCGCGTCAATCCCCACCTATCATTCAACACAATGGCTCGCTCAATGGCACATTCGGGACCTTCAAAGTGATCTTATACTTACCCTAGTCGCGTACTTTTCCGAATGCTTCGCAGTGTTGAGCGACACGCACACGTATGTACATGCATCGGAGCGTTATCATTCCGTCGATTAAAATATATTTCGTCGGCTATTGAAGCATTCTCGCGTCGTTATCGCGCTTATTAACATACGTTTCTCTGGGCGAATCGCGATATTTGAGTGATTTATATTCGGATTATATACAATAAAAGTGAGTATGTCCAGAGTGCCACGACGGAGCAGCCAGAAGCAGCAGGATGCTGAATCGCAGATTTTTCTCAACATCTTCGAGGTATATGTGCATTTATTTACGCGTTTACTGCTTCTCGCATATAGAGAGAGATACATCGATTTTTAATTGTATTGATCGGAGCGATCATGCAGTCACGCGCAGCTTGCGTTACTCTTGGTAATTGATTCCAACGCAATTTAATTAACCGCAGCGATTTAGATAATCACGCGCACCTGACGCGACGATGCGTTTCGGGATTTACAGAGACTCGCATATCGTTATTCGCATTAAGCGGAACGTGAAATTTCGTGCAGGATGATGAATAGGTACGATTTAACGGTATATAGGCTGCAATCTCTCGCGCTTTTGTTCTTGTCTATCTACAAGAGCACATGTACAAGTCTACTAAAGTCGTACGTTACGAAGTAACTCGGCTATTTCAAAGCGATTCGATCTGACGGGCTCTCGAGAAACTGCTTTCCGTCGGATCAGTGCTCGTGGTTTATTCCGCACAAGCCCCAATTCAGCAAAACGTTCCAATACTGCGCGTCGTTTCAAGATCTCTAAATTGGATTGATATAATGCGTGAAACGTTACTATGGACGTTAACATCTCTCACGCTGATAATTTTGACAGAACTGTTATCGACAATCCTTTCGATTATACAACATAGTTTCAAAAACTAATAATCTTGTATATAATAATCTTATGAAATGTCGCCATTTCGTTAAAAGAAAGTTCCAAGTTAAATCGCCTGAGATAGGATTTGTTGAATGATTTATTTAAAATATTTTCGTAGTATATATCTCATAGCTACTATGCAATCTGAGCTACATATACATATGTATATATACATATGTGTGTGTGTGTGTGTGTGTGTGTGTGTGTGTGTGTTAGAATGAAGATTTAAAAAGAAAGATTGACATTTTTTCGTCATATGAAATTGGGTATAAAATGAGAAATCAAATACGGAGAATACACATAATTGGCAAAATTTTCCTTGTGACTAGTATTTAATAGAGTTGAATAGGAATTTAACTAACTGGAGATTCGATCGAGGCGAGAGAGATAATTGTAAGATCAGAAGATAGTCTCAATTTCAGGGGCAAACTCGAGTCCGTATCTCGAATCGGAGTAGCTGAAAGTGGCATTGTATGTTTTCTCAAGCGGTTGCTTCCAAATATACATTTCTGGTATTTTATTCAGATCGAAATTTCGATTAGCGTATATACGCTATTACAAGGGGGAATAAAGATAGAAGACGCAGTAAAGTTAGATTTGCGTTAATAAACCGTATCTTCTCTTGACTCGGTGTCAAGCGCACAACACATCGTCGCGGTGAAACTAAGTTTACCGTTTTTTTTTTTTTCTATTTTTACACTCCCACCGCATATATGCGCGCCTGTAAATCATTTGCCAGCGATTAAACTCAGAAAATATCGATTTCACGACGGCATCGTGGCATCCACGAGAGCGTAATTTATCGCTCTCATCGAAGGTGCATTACGAAGCGATCGAATTATCCACGATTTCAGCAGCGTCGGGTATTTCCGACGCGGCCTCGCACGTCGCGCTCTCGCATACATGTGTATATGTCTACCTGGATTATTAAAATCTGACACCTGTGCTCGCTCGTGACGAGCGAGCACCGTGTTACCGGAATAAATAATGGATTCCGATGCTTGTACAGAGGGTCCGTTACCATAACGACCGACTGGGCCATTTCCATTTGCATAACCACGACCTTTCGTTGTGTAACCGCCGTGTTCTTCCTCGTACAATCAGCGCCGATTTCCGCGCCGATCTACCGAATGGCTCGTTTGAATAATGCATCGTGAAAATATCGGCTTCCCGCGAGTTTTTCAATCGTTTACTAGCGTTGCCGCGAGGCATCCAAGAAACTCGCGGTGATCACGACGGGCGATTTTCTTTAACGCTTCCTTGGCTCGGCGTCTGGAAGAATTCATGTTCCGGAGGCGCTCTCTCGCGCGACCGGTCAACGTTCCGGAATAACTTCGTCGCGAATGATATTCCGCGCTAGCGGTATCGGGCGTATCATGTCATGATATCATGATGATTGAAGCCGGCCGTAACGATTTCTTGTCACTTCCTTGTTTTAGAGAGAACCCGAGTCGTATAGAACGTCGTGTATGACGTGTAGAGTTCGATACCTTAACATTGCGCGAATATCATGTCCAGGTCGTGGTCTATGTTTAACCTTTTGAGATATAGGAGCAGACCAAGTAGGCGAGTTTTCGCAGAGGAGCGAGAGATAAAAAGCTTTTAACACGACCTACGCTTGGAACAATTATCTGCATAATCAATATCGTGTAATTTTTCGCGGACGCGGAGTTTCAGGCGACATCCACGGTGCGATAAAACACGTTTCGGTGAAAAGAAAAAATGAAATTTTGCCTTCATATCTCGAGAGTAAATTTCCCAGGGTCGCTGAAATCTCGCTCTTCGTCGTCGAGTACCCTCTTAATTAAGGCTAGTGAAATATCCATCGATCGTCAGTCAACCCAGATTCGTGAATGATTTGTGTTTAACGGATAGTCGGCTATTTTTAACGCGCGCGCGCGCTTTTGTAATTGCCCGTCTGGATGTTCATTTGCATCTATTTATTATGGCATTTAGCTTTTGCACATGTTGCTTCGGGGAACGAGAGAGAATATACAATACGAATGCAGAGTAAGAGATTCAATGGCTCGCTATTATCGCGCCGTTAAATTTGCATTTTTAATTACTCTACGTAACATAATCTTCTTGATGCAGCAGATGCTGCTCGCACGCGTACTCGCGTACGATGTTCCATTTATCTCACCGTTTTCATACTGTATGCATATTGTATTTTCATATATATACACATATATATATATATATATATGTCCTGATTTCATTCGTATATTTGTGCTGTTTATGCGATCGCGTTTCGCTTCTGTAGATGACAACAACCCGCGTGTTTCTAAAAGCATCTTTTTACTCTTATCCACCTCGAGTGCAACTAGAATTGTTATTTGCCGGAGAAAGAACTACTCGGGAGAAAGAAAGAATATTTAACTTATTCCACGGCTTACCTTTCTTCCTTTTTCTTCTTTTTTTCCCCGTGTCACAGCATCTTGTCTACACTCTACCAAATCTCACGACCCAAGAAACCATGCTCGGTGATTGATTGCAGTCGTCCATTTGTGGCGTCCTTCTCTTCCTCCCTCTCCCTCCCTTTCTCCCTCTGTCTCTGTCTTTCTCCTTCTCTCCTTCTGCTTTCTCTCTTTTTCGTCACCAACGAAGCAAATGAAAGCTTGTGTCAAAATTAACGAACCGCCTGTTTCCGACTAAGGTTTCACTTTCGGGCGATTGGGTTACGTGTAGCAAAGGTAGCCTAGCGTGTGTAATCCGAACTGCTAATCAACAAAGTGGCTCGATGAACCTGGAAATTTCAGGCGTCGTGCCAGAGAAAAGCCGTTGACGTGGTTTTATTTTTATTCCAACACGTGTTGCGTACGCAGTGCCAGCGTACTAAGAAAACATGACGATATCCAGGGCGGTTCGTATTCGCGCCACGTTTCCCACTTCGTCATTTCGCTTTCGTTATCTTCCGCGATGTAACGAAATCGGCCATTTCCAAAGATACGTATTGTCCGGTGGTACGGAGGATTGTTTTCCCAACGACGATGACGACGACGACGACGATGACGATCGTGGGGCGTAATGCTGATTATTCGCTCCAATTTCCATAAATTGGCCTCTGCATTACTTTTCCCTCCTCGTGATTTACAAGTTTACGAACAAGCTGAGAACATGCTTCGAATCGCCAATGTGTTGTATCTAATATATCGCGTTCTCCGTATCGGGAAGCTCTTGCCGGCTGAATTGCGCTCGCTCGAAATCAAGCTAGTTTTGCGTCTTTGTTCATTAGGAACACACAGTCGCATTCAAGCGACAGCACTGATAAATTACTCCTCGGAGTATCTTTTGGATACGTATCCAACGTGAAATTAATGAATAGCTTTATCGAGAGCTGCGAATGGGCGAGAGAAATATTACGTAGAAAAGGAGAAAAAATCGTAGAGGCCGGGGGGAGGGGACGACTGTTTCGGGATTCGATTGTTAATAAGTCTCTTTAGGAGCATCAATGTAATTAGACTCCGAATACGAAGCGACAAGAGAAAATCAATGATTTAATGTATAAAGCGAGGATTCAGCGCATCGTGCGCTGAAATATATCGGTTGTGTCCGCGACTGCAATGTTCTTTAGGTTCTTTTTTTATGTATTCTCGTAATGCGCTTTAATACCTTCTGAGACGAAGAGGCATTTCCATCTCACGGAATGACTCTTGTCCTTTTTGTCGTCGCATTCGTCTTACGTCCCCGCCGCTCGCCGTCGATCTCGCCGGTGCAGCCGTGTAATCTCATTGTATTCGCATTTCGCGTGTCTCTGTGTAAGAATCCCCCTTTCACGGACACTCGCTTCGAAACGTCGCGCGAGCTCCAGCGGAAAATTCGTCTCCAATCAACGTAACCGGTATCTCCGTTCCGCTAGCGTGCGACGTACGAGAGCGATCGAAGCGGGCAGCAGCATTGCGGCGAAGTAGATTGAAATATGAAATGTCAACAATTATAATCGGAGACCGTGTCGTCGGAGCGTGAAAAACGCCGCACAGGGAGGTGCAGTCGCTCCACGCGACAAGTATCGTCTAGCGTTTCTCGCGTGCACGTATCCGAAAATCGTCGTCCACCTGTGCGCATCGCCACAAAGTGCGATCTCGCGTGAAAGATTTGAAAGTGGCTCACCTTGGCGGAATCCAACGCGAGCACGGGAACACTTGATCATCGCATGTCGCGAATCGATCTCGCGCTCGTCTCAATTCGCGCTCTCGTCCGTCCGTCAAACCCGTCCGGTTTGTAATCTCCCTGGACTGCTCTCTTCGCGAAGGGCGAACGCGCGCGGGAAGCTGCGTCGGAAGTCGCGAGGGGAGCACTGTAAAAGCGGCGACCTGTCCACTAAATATCATCGACCGATCGAAACTTTGGCCGCGTTTCTCTCGCGGCCGAGAGCGGTCCCTCCGCCGCTTTTCCCTTGTCGTCGCAGCGAGTCCGCGGCGAGCACACGCGGAGGCTGTGTCCGGCTCGGATTTACTCTCCCGTAAGCCTCGGATGGGTCTTGGCGCTCGTCGGCAATCCGTCGAGAGGTAGGAGTGAACGATAGGCTCGTGAGTAGTAAATCACTGTCGTTGGCGGCAGGACCCGGGGGAGAGAGACGCTCGACGATGCCGCTCGAGGGAGTGTCCTCCTCCTTCGGCATCACCTGTTGGTATCGCGCGCCCCGGTCACGGTTTTATACGGGGTGGCACGCTGAAAATCCAGCCGGAGCGGCGCGGCGCGGCGCGGTACGGCGCCGAGTTTCACTGCGCATTCGCCGGCGACAGATCGATGTGTTATATCGCGAGCTTCTCTCCGCGGCATCCACCGCGAGAAGGATAAGGATCCTCCTCCGTGTCTCTCTCTCTCTCTCTCTCTCTCGCCCTGCTTCTCTCCCGACGGTCGGTTACGAAGCCGATGCGCCGTCGTCCGTCGCGCTTACCCGCCGATTACCCGCGATGCAGCGATCGCATATCGAGTGCATCCGTCGCGACTAGGTAGCGTGCTAATGACAGTTAGCGGTTATTAGATTAAGCAGCTAATAGCTATTAGGCGCGTCTCCATACGCGCGTCTCCATACGCCGGGGTGTATCTGCGGAAATAATGCGGAAAATGTCTAGGGAGAACGTCTAGACTCACGATGTAGACTATAAGTGTTTATTTATAATGCAGTTGTAATAGGAATCCCAATTACCCGCAAAGAGACGAGGAAAGATGCACGAATATACTTTGGATATTCCTGCACGTTTGTAATTTCGTTTACGTGTATGTGTTGGTACGCAGATCTAGGCCATTTGGTGATAGATAACATTATCGACACTTTGAAATGACCGTGGCGGATGCTTATCATCAGTATCGTTCTCTTTTTACGATCAGCCGTAAATAAGTCCGGCTTGTGGCGACATTAACATACCGATTCGTCGTGCATTTTACGGGCCATTAAACGTCTACTAAATCTCGCGGAGTTTCTCGTTAGCATACGCGAGCTGTACGGCACGTTACGTTGGTCACGCTTTTCACTTTGCTTTCCAGGCTTTCGCTAAACGCGTTCGGTTTACTGCCGCGCGAATAAAAAGAACATTGAAGAGGCAATTCGTTTTCTCTTTTTTCTTTTTCTTTTTTCTTTTCTGTTTAGCATTCCTCGAGCGAATGCGGCGCCGTTAAATGTCGAGTGCGAGGAACGTGTAATGCGGACATTGATTAAGTATTGATCTCTATTTTCTTTTTCCCTTTTTTGCTTCGCATAGTAGAGGAGACGACGAACGAAGTGAATTATTAAAAACGCGACGAAAAATAACGGTCCAACGGTTTCGCAGGTCACGTAAAAGCCCGGCTGCAAAAGAGAGCGTACTTGGTATTTAATTTATTTATCATTGTGAGCCATTAGAGTCGTAGAGACCGTTCGAGACGTGCACTATTAATTGAAATTGTTGTTTAACGCTCCGGCGAAGAACGTATTCTCGGAAACATATAAATCGTGGTGTATCGATGTTCTCGCTAGAACGTTGATCTACAGCGAACGGTCCTGAAATTTTTCTCCGTGTAGCTTTCGCCAATCGATAATCGTACTTTAACGAAAATATATGGTCGGTCCTGGACGTGTCAGCGTCTCGGGCTGTAAAACTCGACTATCTTTTCTCATGAGACCGCCGTTGCCTAGGATACTATTAATTTCTATTAGATGTATTTTAGAGACCACGCTACTTAGAACTATCCTTATTCATTTGAGGGGAAAATCGCGTAACTTTCACGTGCAAATTTAGCTAAACGTAGAGTGAAAAATCGTGATGTTCCGAACGTCGGATTTTCGAGCACGAAAACTTGGTAATTTTTCCAAACAGTTTGCCGTTCGTGTCGTGTGCCCACCGTCGTTTAACAGATCTTTCGTCCTCCAATAAGACGTGCGTTTCGGGGAATGTTGAAAATGAACCCACTCGTTAACAGCTCTTTTCTTTTTTTGGTTGATTTTGTAAATAATATTTATTAGATAATGTATGCTTACGAGTATTAGGTAACATAATGTATTCTAGGGTCCTTCATAGAAGGCGTACAAATCATTGTTCCAGCAATGTCTTCTAGATTAACGTAGATAAAATCGTCGCCGTTGCGATCGTCTTCGTCCGCACTTCGCAAAACTTGTGTCGTTACGCGAAGCAATAATTTGTTTTCTCTCTTTTTCCTCTTGTTTTAATGATCGACGCGTAAAATCGAATCAATTATCTTTGTCGAGACCGCAGACGTGTCATCTCTTGCGCGTTCGTCGACCGAAGATTCCAAAATTTCCTAATCATTTATTAATAACTTGACCTATCGCGCCGTAAAATGGCGCGTGATTTGTGATATTCGCATAAGCTTCATTTTCTCGCCTCTTCGAAGTGTCTCTTTAAGTATATTTCGTTAAACGTTTACTTTACTCTCGTAACAATCCTCTTGTATTCAATTTGCTAAAAATTCAACAATTGTAATTGCCTACCAATAATAAGAAATCGAGTAAAAACGCTGCTGATTCACTAAAATGCCTTAGTTATAGTACAGTGTCGTAAAATTGAATTTCATAGCGGAGCAAGCGCGCCTAATTAATGTAAAGCGGTTTAATTGTCAACGGTAAGTTACGCTATACGCTTCTCGACAAGCCAATGCGCAAGTTTAAGGAGGAAGTCCTCTTGCAAACTGTCACCGCGATGAGCCACTCCGATCCTTATCAATTGTTCGCAAAACATGACTCCGCAATTAATACAATACGATACGTTCATTTCGATTCGATTCGATTTTATTACCGCGTTCTCACGCGTTTACGACGATCGACTCGACGTTCTCCCAGATCACTTCTAACATCAAACAAACTGAAATGCCTAAAATTAGTTTATACACGAGATCTAGGTTTACTTTTTTCTCACTCTAACTAAAACTGCTCTCAAGTAAATGTATATCACTTGTAAATATTTCCCTAAGTTTGCCGGGGCCGGCGAGCGCGTGCTCGAAAAACGCGGCCCGGCTTCCTTTAAAAAATTCTCAATTAGTTCATTCCTATTCTCTTTACATTCTCTCGCGCGCATTGTTTCTCATTCATATATTTACATATTTTCGCTCGTTCTCTCTCTCTCTCTCTCTCTTTCTCTCTCCTCTCTCTCTCTCTCTCTCTCTCTCTCTCTCTCTCTCTCTCTCTCTCTCTCTCTCTCTCTCTCTCTCTCCTGATGTACAGGATGCTTCAGTGGACCAGCGCCACTCCTTTTTCTAAGAATTCTTTGATCACTCTGATTTTTCCACTTTGATCGAAAATGGATTTCTTAAGATGAACAAAAAATGTCGGGGCATCAATAATTTCTGAATTATAAGTGAAAGTGAATTATAATTGAAAGTGAATAATTATTATTGATAAATTCTTGTGTATATGTTTTGGTAGTATTATTTCAACAAAGTCTCAACCACAAGTTCAGTTATCGCGATATTCGATACTAAAGGTTGCAAAAAATGAGTAGTAATCGGATTTAAAGTTACTCAAAGAATCCGAAGTTGAAGAGGGTGGCGATAGTGTTATGTGCGACATCCTATATATATAGTATATATTTATCTGTTTTCATATAGATAATAGTAAGTGATTTAGTCTTATGCACGTTTTACGTCCGCAAGTACATCGATGCCTAATTTGCATAGATATTAATGTAATTACGCACATACGTGGGTAATATATTTATAGTTACGTTCATAGGATGCCATGTTCGTGTATGTCCATTTTTCTCCCATTTCCTCAATTTCTCTCTCTTTTTCTCGTTTTTCATTCTTTCTGCCTTTCTCCCTATGATTGTGTAGGTGTGCTGTATCCGCGTATATATATATATATATATATCCTATGCTTCTTAGGTAGTAAGTATCAATGTGTCTTGTGTTTATAGAACGTGCGCCTGCGCGCACGTTACGAATTAATTTATTAAAACTTTCTCTATCGCGTCTCCATTTTCATAGTCTCCTCAATATCCGGTTATGCATTAATCCTCATAACATTAAATGTAATTTTCATCGCACGGATTTCGCAATCCTCTCTCGCTCTCTCTCTCCCTTTCTTTCGCTCTATTTCTCTCTCTCTCTCTCTCTCTCTCTCTCTCTCGCCCCATCACGTTAGTTAAATTTTTCTAAAAACTTACACGCTGTATAAGTCATCGAACAGCTCGAGGCATCCTGCTGATTGTACTTGTATTTGTTGATAATGAAATTCTCTTTAAAGCCTCCCACATTCCGCCTCTCGTTCCCGAGTTTTCGCAGCGACAAACGGCGACGCTCTTTCAAGAGTGACATCGTCAAAATGTTTCAATTCAGTCGTCACTTTTTTCCGTAGGATTCATCTCGAGCGTTCGACAAAGCGATAAATCGAGAATGCGAGCGGACGAAAGTTTCGCGTCGTATCTTCGCCAAAGTTCGCCAAAGCTGTGAGAAAATTTACAGCTATTCCCAGTCTCTTTGCTCCTCCCCCCCCCTCTCTCTCTTTCTCTCTTCTTGTTTGTACCAACTTGCGCGACTTTTTTCGTCGTATGATTTGATTTCGTCGTTTAAAAGTCGATGACGACAATCGCCGTTGCTTCACCTCGAGAATTTTGCTGTCAAGAGTCGGCGAAAGGATCTTGCGACATCTTGCGCTACTTAAAATTATTATCGAAGAGCGCCGTAGAAATGAAACGTTAGGGCGAAACGCGAGTCTCCACGGTGGTCGCGCAACTTTTCGCGGAAAATAGGAAACGCCGCTTGACGAGCGTTACAGCAGCTGATCCTTCCTTTGCGCGTGCATTATTGAAGGCGTCGAGAATGTACGGCATCCCCGCAGGACGTTTAACTTTTCAAACCGGTAACTCGGCTGAGATAACGGACGAAATATCGCGGCGACCGCGGCGGAGGCTGGCCGACGTTTGTTTTCGCTGGCATTCTCGATGTATCGACATCCGACCGCAAAACTTGTTTCGCGGGTAAGTGGTTGGGAGTACATTATTCTCGTCCGACGAAGTGAAAAATCGTAGCTACGATCAGAAACGTGCCGCGTTTATGGTCTCTCGAGTATAGTTGCGAACTGATTCGTTCTCTCCGCCTGTTATACGATGCATCTCGAAACTACCAGTACATATCTCAATGACGACGAGTCAGCTTTTCGCTGTGCTCTCTCTCCCTCTCTCTCTCTCTCTCTCTCTCTCTCTTTTTCGCGCGCGGAATTGTTCTCTCCTTATAGCGAAGATCTCACGGAAGACCATTACATCGCGATCATTCGAGTTTCAGTGCGAAGTGTGTCGTGTGGTAGTCGCGAAGTATCGTCCAAGTAAAACCAGACTCGAAACTCTTAGATTAAACAACATGATTTTATTATCTCTCCTTAAGCTCTCTCTCTCTCTCTCTCTCTCTCGGGAGCTCCACTCGTTCTGCATTTTCGCTTATAACTCAACGACTATCGACGCCTTCTAACGTCAGAATCGCGAATGTTTCGGTATTTTTGTTCAATTGGGCCTTCAGTAGCTCGATCACTGAAATATGTTTCGCCGGTTCTGGGACACCTTGTACATACGTACGTGTGCATTAGTTACAAGTTGGATGTATATCTTATTTACACGCGTGTCCCCTTGTCCAGTTAAACTCGCCCGTTGTGCGTTTAGACATGTCATTATTAATTGTATATAATATAAGTATAATATTATATATATATATATATATATATATATTAATCTGAATTTCTCTAGGCAGTTGTGTGTTTATATTATACATGTTAAGGTTTATAGCTAAGATTTCCCTTTGTCGTTTCGACCGTTGTCTACTTCCTGCCGCGTCTCCTACGATCTTCCTCGCGCGGTCAAGTCTTCTTAGAAAAAATGGTTCCTACACATGCGTGGGTTGATCGCCCTACTCCTTAGGTTTTACAAAATGAACACGTTGATCTATCGGGAGAATAATGATCGAGCTTTTCGAGAAGAGAGAACGTTCACGGTCTATGGTCACGGGTGTTCCCCTTTTCTCAATTTCATTCTCTCCGTATCTTTTTTTCTTTTCCTTTTGTGGACAATCGCTGTGTGTAATGTGTGTGAACGTAAGGCGAGAAACGTGAGTTTCTCGGCGGGCCGAAGAACTCGAGAATTGTGGATTATCGAAACGATACGAGGCGCGAACGATGCATCGATAAAATCCATCTTTCGCCTACAAATAATTGACATTATTCGGATACGATTGTTATATTACGTCCTCCATCCTCCATCTCGAAGTGCTCGAAATTATTCTGCTTTTTGACAATACACGTCTTTTCTCTCTCGTTCGCATGCTGAATGTTGTACAACATTATTTTCGTCACAATATCAACGTTCGCTCTTGCGCGTGCTCACTCATACACACTTCAAAATGATTATCTAGGTAGTTTCTTTTCCCTCGACTCGGGTCGATTTATAGTATTTGTCTCGGCGTATACTCGCGTCTCGCCGCGAGCGGGGTCCGGGGGGAGGGGGGGTCTCATAAATTATTTATAAAGAATAAACGTGACGATCGTTTGGTTTTATCTAAACGTAGTTTAATTACGGAGACGCTACGGAAAGAGCGGTATGTGTGTTTCGTGTATGTCCTGACGTCCTAATTGGTGGTATTGAGCAAAGTGCCATAATTACGTACACTCGTTAGACTTACTCCGTACATACGAATTAGAAATTATACATATCCTCCTATTGGTCGTTTATGCTACTTAATAGTAGACTATCTGGCGGTTACTTGCGTTATTGCTGCTAAGATGTATGTAAAGGGAGGGGAGCTGCGTCTCGCTAGTACGATTAGTCGATTAATCGTAAACTTCTCTTTTCTTTTGCTTTTTCTTTTTTCTTTTTTTTCCGTTTTTGTTCGTTTTGACAATTTTCAGTGTATTTGCTAGATTTCTCGGGATAGATGCATGCTGATAACTTTATTTCGAGAGAAAAAGGAATTGGCATTTTTATTGGATCAAAATTCGAGTGCCGTCGCGGGGAGAAGTACACAGTCGACGATATCTCTTTTTTTTCGTTTTCCTTTTTACGAATTAACAGCTATACAAGCACTTTTTAACTCGCGTTTCTTCTCGTACGTTGCAAAAGAGTGTGTTCCACGTCGAGATTCTAATTATCCGACAGTTTGTGCGGACGAAAATTCCGTCGCTCGTGGAATAGCGCCGCGAATTGTTGAAGGCATCGGTTCGTGTTGTCACGAAATGTGTGCGCACTGATGCGTGCTCTTTCGTTACAAGTCGTTCGCGCGTTAATTGTGTACCTAAAAATTTCTCGCAGATGTACGGTCCGCGATAGACTACGCTACACTTGTTGTTTCCGCTACGGATCTGTATTTCGATGCCGCTATCATTACAAAGTCGCAATCGGAAAATCCTCGGCGTATCGATAAAATGTGCATCTCGTTCACGCGATGTTTCACGATTTGTTCGATTAAGGCGGTATGATGGTCGGTTGAGATCTAAAGATATCGATAACGTCGAGATAAGAGGTGTGTCTGTTGTAATTTCTGCGACGAGGACTTACGCTAGAAAATCATACACAGTCACGGGACCCTACAGGGATTGTATACAGTAACGTGTGCGGGGAAACAGGGGGAGGATATAAAACAAAATTAGCACCTCGGAAATAGCTCTTTCTATGCATCATGACTTCTTTTCTCTCTGATCGTGGTATGAATGCGCGGTTTGAAATTGCATCGCGGTTTTTAATAGGAAGTACGAAATAAAAAAATGTCGGCAACACGTTTGTGCGGTAATGTGAGTCGAAATCACCGACTATTATATCGCTTTAATGAATCGTCGAGCGTGTCGTCGAACGATTTTCTTCGACGACACGCGTTTCTTCCCTTCAGCGACGCGCCTCGATTTTCTTTTTTTTTTATTTTTTTACTTTTGAAAATGGAAGCACAAATCGTCTCTCACGAGGCCCGCGGAAAATATCACAGCCCTGAGGAAAGAACGAAACTATCCGCGACGCGTAGTTGTTCGTCCAGAGTAGTAGCAGTAAGTTGTTCGTCGCACGATTATTTTGAAAGTGACTCCAACTTCTCGACGCACATTCAATTCCGGAATACAAACTCCCGTGCCATGTACCTCCGCGGATTCTATTTCTGAAAATCGTTGCGCACCATTTTCAAAATAAACGGCTCATGTGGCGATAACTTTCGTAGAATATAGATCGCGTTTCGCTTTACGTGTGATTCGTTAGATCAACATTCGTTTCCGGAGCACACTTGCTGGGGCGCGGAAGGGGACCGCGTTGAGCGATTCGAGACGACGTTTCGTGAAATCGGCGCGGCAAACACGGCGGTGGAACTCGAGCAATTGTGCGCAAAGTCCGATCGATCACGCTTCGGTAAGCTCGCCCATGCGGATATGTGAAAATGTTTCGGGTTTTCGGACGACAGGTAGATTTTTATATAATTTCGAAATCTGCTGTCACACAATCGTCGGTTTATCAATGGGAGATTTGTTGCTTAGATTCTCTGCTAACATTCTTTTTTTTTTTTTTCTTTTTTCCGTATGAACGCGCGGGTGTCGCAGGTGTGTGAGCCAAGATCTTCGTAGAGAGTCCAGCAGGTATGCGTAAGCGTGGCTTGTTGTTGGCAGTGTTTCAACATCGGCAACGAGTCGACTCGTACGCGCGCGTTACGCATGCACACGCGTGAAGAACGTAATCCAGCGGCAGCGGACAATTTGCATGCGCGCTGCAAACGCCGCGTGTCGAGTTGATTTCCAAGGAATGGCCGATATTCTTCAACAATCGGATTCAGTCGAAAGCGCAAAGTGTTTATCTATCAGAAGCGTGCATATTGTGCGAAACGATGTTAATCCTTTCTTTTATATTTTATTTTATTTTTTCCTTTTTTCTTGTTTTTCTGTTTGTCTGTCATAGGAAGTAGCGTCGATATTCGAAAGACAAGATCGATTCGTTGCGTTGGTAACGATTACAGAAGCTAGTCATAAAGCGAGATTTGCCTTCTGTTCTATTTATTGACATGTGGGAGCTATTTTCGAGGCATCAGCAAGTCGTACCAGAAATTTCGCATCTTTCTAGCACTGTTTCTCTCTCAATCTTCTTATTAGTGACTTCTTTAAACTCACACATCATAAGCGCACTTATCCGACTCGACGTTTATATACAGGGCGTTTCAAAACTACGCTGACAAACACCGCTGCGGATTCATTGAAGAGTACGGAATCATTCTTTCTTAAGTGTATATATTGTCGAAATATTAATAACCTTCCTATTGTGGTTATGAGATATGAACAATCTTCCGTATGTTATCTTTGAAGGGTATAAACGAGTCACTAAAAGTTACGTCACATTTAATGTTGCGGGAAGATTACGAAAGTATAAACGAATTTGATATTCGATGATATTTTCGCTTGGAGGAATTCAGCCACGAAACAATGAAAGAATTCATAGCCATAAGTTTGTCGAACAGTTGAGAAAAACTCTGTATACCTCGCTCTTACGAGTATCCGCGAGCAGATCGACACCGAAAAATGAAAAAGTGCGAGCTCCACCGAAAGGTTTTTTCCAGAGATATGACTCCGCGTTCGAAAAGAGGAAGTACCTTACGCGTGAGCGCGGTCAGAGATAATAAGTTGCTTCGACGAGGAACGCAGGCAAACATACAAACGTCTGTCAATCTTTCACGCAATGTGTAGAATTGCAATTTCTCGTCTGACGTGGGAATGAATCCAAACGTTTCTCGGGATCCGGGATCATTGTGATGCACGGTGCTATCGTTAATTCGTCTAAAAATTATAAAAAGTACAATTTATCTGTTCGGCTGGTGTATGACACTGACATCGTGATCACGTTCTTCCTTTCCTCACTGGTCGAAAATATAAAGAACGATTTAATCGCGTAACGCCTGAGATGTGACAATAGTCCTGCATTTTCGAGCGTGCGTTTCGGCCCTTTGTCTCGAACACACGTCACAGGTTTCATAGGATTGATCTCGTACGGTCGTACGCTCGTACAATCTGTCCGTACAATTCCTGCACATTTAACGCTAAGCGTGGCTGCCCGCTTCCGGATTTGATTAGTCTAACACGAAGATTACGTCGATGTAAGAACGTGATATGAGAATCAGGCGGCCATAGTTGGTACTAAATGTGCGCTAGCAGTTTATGAGTCTCTTCACCTCTTTCGAGAGAGGAGGCTCTCTCGAGGATCCTTCCGATCCGGTCTTTGCGATCAGCGAAATAAGTTGGACAACAAGCTGAGGACGTAATGCACTTTCGTGGATTAATACGGCTGGTTGAATAATTGCGTCTCAAAGCGGGAATTACGCGCGGCTTGTATATCGCTGAACTTTCGTGTCTCGCGATTATCGCTCACATTACACAAGTTGTATAGCGTACAGCTTGGCGAGTCCGAAGCATATCTTACGCCTCAATGTATCGTTTGTAACCCGAAATAATGCTCACACGTGTGTCCGGATGCGCGAAGTAAAGTTTAAAGTCTGGACGGAAACGCCTGACAAACGATCGCAAAATCATGCCGAATAATTCGCAAGCGTGGAAAGAGCTGAGGGAACAGTCATTAATCTTTCGTTAATATTGTGAGACTGCTAAATTCATGGCCGATATTACGAAATGAAGCGGCGCGCGCTCTCATACAGCGGGCGGGTAATTATCTCTCAAACGTAACATCTTGATCGTGACCGCGATTTATGGTCGCGAGCGCGGGGTGTTGGTCTTGAGATTCTTCCAAGCGACTCGTCCCAAAGGTGTCTCCGAAGGATCCTCGACGCCATTAATTTCGAAGGACCGGTCGCATTCCCGCGCTAAATCTTCGTCACTTGTTAAGGCGCGACGGAGTCCCTGAAGTAGTCGGCAGTTTCTTTCGGTGTGAGTTTCGCTCGGCCGTTGCCCGATTGCGATGTCCGATGTGTGGAGCCGTTTTCTCCCTTTCTTTCTTGTTCTCCCGGAAAGATCCTTTGGTGATTCGGGCCACGCGTGCTCACTGGCTGCCGTAATACCGCGGCACCCGCAGGATCTTCGACGATCGCGCAAAGTCGAGAAATCCCGGCGTGAGTGTCCTCAAAGAGGATCAGGACGCCCCGTAGACGCAGGCCGAGTTATCCGGCGGACTGATCTTCTCCACGGGCAGCACCGCTGCTCTGTGCCACTCGTCGCGTACCTGTTATCAGAAAAAAGACAATGATCGCACACGTGACGCGGCTAGGTAACGGGGCAAACGGACGCGATAAGATCAGCTGGGCTCGATATTACCACTGGGACTACCTTTCAAAAGATACCGAGATCAAATTCCACGGAAAGGAAGTTGCAAGTTGCAAACTCTACTTGTCACGCGCGTGACTGGTCTACCGCAGGATACCCTGCAGGAGACCCGCAGAGAGTATCCCATAGAATTCGGTGCGTTATCAGTCGACTGTAATATGTACGTTGATAGCTGCACGATTTTACTGTCTCTTAAAAGATCAGGCTTGGGTTTGTAGTGTTTCGTTGTATCTTTGGGAATGAGTCGAGGGAAATTTGAATTCTACTACAACTTTGCGAAAATTCCATCGAATTTAATATTGATCGGGTTGACGGCGTCCACAACAACAATGCTCAACAATGTAGCGGCAGAGAATTAAGTTTTAGATAAACAAGATGAAGTAAAAAAAAAAAAAGAAAAAAAGACGCACAACTGCAACACGTGTTTATAAGATTCATTTATTAAATTCTAAATTTTGCCATTTAATATTTTTATCCTCGGTGAATTTTTATCTAACGTCCGCTAAAATCGGAAGAATTCCGATATTTTGACATTCTGAATTTTTTACGACAATGCGAAAAAAATAATGAAACTCTTATGAATAAACAAGTTTGTCACTTTACCCATTAAACTCATTTTGTACACGTATTAATTATTTAATATTTGCTTACCTCGCATTTCGCACCCTATTTACAGTGAAGTTTATTACGTAATTAATATGTTGTTGATTGAAATCATGAATGAGAATTAAATAGGATATTAAAGTATTGAAATATTAAAACGTGCTATAATTAATTTTAAAACGTGCTTTCAAGTTTCATCATTGAGAAACAGCAACTGCACGTAAACATCTCAAGCTAGCTTATAGTGTCCGCATTTCGAGATTTTCCGTTGGTTCTTTTGATTTGACGAAATTTTCAGTATTAGTATGCAAAACTAACTTTGTGACGCGGAAATTTTCGAGTTTTATAAGGATTAGCGACGGTGAAGTAAACTGACGATAAATTTTCGGGAGCGAGCAACGCCAGGTTCTAATGTGCTCAATTACCTTGGCGCACGCGTGACGAGGAGTGATAAAACTTTCACAGCCGTCCAATAATGTCGATAAATTTAACGCGCGCGATTAATCGCAATCAGATATCCCGAGTTACGCGGAGCAGCGTAACTCGGAGCTCTCGCAGCTCTCGGGATTACGTGTTTTGTTCGAGCAATTAGAGCGCTTTCTGTTTACAACGTCGTAAATGAAATCGTAAAAACAGCGCAGTTTGCATCGTGATTAAAAATAAGTCGTGTCGCCGTACCTGCTCGACTTTCGCGAATACCCTCAGCAAGTTAAGGCCGGCCAATTTCTTGATGTCCTCCTCCGTCCAGGAAGGATCTTCCAATAGGGTAGCCAATAGTTGCGGGTATCTCGAGACATCCTCCAAGCCGGTGGGGGTGCTGCGAACAGGACGAAGCTCGCGGAGGTCAGGCGATCTTCTCTCAGTTCGTTTGATCTCGAGGCGACATTCAGGAAACGGCGAAGTTTGCATGATTATCGTAATGAATATCAAATATTGCTCGATGGTTTCGTTCTTCATTTAAGAGCGCTATAATTGTACGATGAGCGGCCAATTGCTTTATTTTCGAAACGTTATAAATCACGCATGTTTGATCGACATAATTTTATTAATTGCAAACGTGGCCAAATTAGTCGCATGTGGCAACGTTTCTGAATGCACGTCTCGCGACGAAATATGGCAGTAAAGAAGAGACAGTAAAGAATAATTACAAATTTATTCCGTCGAAACCCGCTCCGATCCCGACGTGATCGATCCCCGCCACCTTTCGAATGTGATTGATGTGTGCTGAAACAGTATAGGGTCGTGATTATTCCATCCGTCGTGGTGGCGACATCAAAACGACAAACATTTTATTATAAACGCATGCAAATCTTCCGAATATTTGCCAAGCTAAAATAAAAAAAGAAAAAGGCGCAAAACAAGACAACTATTTGTCTCTTGTGGCAAAACGGCGAACGAAGTTCAATTTTCGAATTTTCACGAGATTTATTTTACATAATAATTTCTATCTCCCCTTCGTTGAATATTGGCTGAATTTACTTTCCACATCGACTTTAAGCATGAAGTTTGCGAGGACGGGTCTCGTGTCGTAAAATAACAGAGTGCGGTAATTGCGTCTGTCGCGTGCAATATCGATACGGTATAATTCGCTTCCGCGCAGCGTGGCTTAGCGAGCGCAGCATCGCGAATAGCGTTCTACGTACCAATAACGTCTTTTATGGTAGCGGTGCTGTTGCACGTTATGAAGTAGGTATAAAAAGGGACCATCGCCACTCCGCCATTCTTAGCCTGCGAACAGATACATTAATGTCATACACGCCGCGATCGTATTTCTTTCCATCCTCAGATGCGCGACACGAAAATACATACATTGTAGCGACGTCGCGCGTACATGTAGCGAAGTCGCAGTGTAAATCGCTTGACTGGCGAGAGTACGGCCGGTTGTTTGCGATTCTTAATAGCTACACCACCCACCCCGGCGCCAGAGGGTTTTTCTGCGGATTAAAATCCGCGGAAGAAAGCGCGTGAATTATTAATACGGTTTATCATCGACCCGAGCGGTCTTTCTCATTGGGATTTCGCGGGAGACTGCGACACACACAGACGTTATCTGAGAGGGACAACTCGGGAACGCTAATCTCTGCTTGATCGAGCTCCTCTCTCTCTTTGTGTGTGTGTGTGCCTTTGCTTTTTATCGCTCGAACGGGAACTACTAGTATTTATCGAGGAAACTATGCCAAGGGATACATACACATACACACACACACAATGCGCATGGATCGCCATCTATTCGACACCTAACGTCGCTTAAACTAGACGGGCAATGTTAATTAGGGCAGCAGGACGGCGCGGTTAATAACACGTTGCCGGACAAGCCATCCGGCTTAGATCGCTGTTACTCATCCTCTCGTTCTGCGGCTATAATTAAGGCAGTATTGATCGCGCGAAGGCGCAGGAGGGAGCGAAGTTCGTTGGTGCGGAGATGTCACCCCGGAGAAGTCGGGGAAAACGTTGCTTAATTAATTAGTGACTGTCTTTTTTTCGCGGGGTTGGTTAACGGTCTTTCAACGCGCGTTCAACCTCTCGAGCGTGCGTCTCTCGACTATAGGCAGAGCCAGCTCGAACGACGCGCGATGTGATTTTTAATTAACTCTCTCTTCATCTCGCGCACTCTCGTGTCTCGGTCATTTCGCGCGGATTGTACTGAATTCCGAGACGAACCGTCGGAAAGTAGCAATTGATCAGTAGTGGATTACAGTCGGTGCAGAGCGAATTGTTGCAAGAGTTTTGCAATTACTTATTCAGCTTACTTTTGCATACTTCAGGTTGCATCAACACAATTCTACGATAACGCAATTCTTGCATTATTACGTTTTGTGTTTTGAATTTTTCTCTGGAGATTTCCCGTGAATGAATAAGTGAATTAAACAACCGACGAAACGCAATCGCATCGATACTTCCGCGCGCGTCGTGAAATTCGCCAGATTGCCCGTCTTCCGCGATAAACTTCGAGCTAGTCGCGGAGCTGATCAGCAGTAAGTTGAATTTCATTTCGACGAGTCGACTGTAAGTTCCGCGGGCTCATCGTCGGCACGTCAATCGGTAATCGACGAGCGCAGGGATTCCGCGCGGAAGGGATGAAATTTTAATGAAGCGTTGCTCGCGCACGAGCGCTCAAGTCTTCGGTCGGCCAATTGTTACGCCATTAATGCTACGTCAGTTATTACACCGCAACTGTGTGTTTCTCGCGTATTTAATGATCGACGGAGGGGAAAAAAGGAAAAAAGGAGAAATTTCGATGGCTGCGTGTCACTCGAGAGTACGAGAATTAGCGCCAATTGGATCAACGCCAATCGCGCTCACGCCGCCGCCGCCGCCGCCGCCGCCGCCGCCGGTGGATGTGTGGAATTATCGATAATAACACGGATTAAGGGTCGTGCTCCTCCAACACACTCGCACTATTTTGGCGCGTTGTTTTCGGGCGTTGGTCGAGAGAGATCGTTTTGACATATCTCCTGCGAACTTCGCACCGTCGATTGCGAATAGTTGGCGATTATCTCGTTGCTTGCTCTCGAACTCGAACAATTTGCGCATTCACCGACACTTGGTGCGCGCGCGCGTTAATATGGCTCCCGCGTTCTTGCGCCCTACCATTCTCCCCGCGCGCGTTTTACAACTTCGCGAATTACAAACCGCTCCGGCATCGCGTTCGATTTCCACCGCGGAGCCGGCTTGGCCCCTCCTCGCCTCGCCATGCCTCGTATCCCGCACGGATTTAATTTCGACGGTTACGCATCTCATTTTCAGACAGCGGGATCTGTCGATAAAACGTACGTTTAATCATCCGCGCGCGCGCGCGCGCGCGCGTGTTTCTTTTTGCTCCGATCTCGTGTCCGCTTTTATCTGCCCTTTGCAGCGGATTCAAACGTTCGGTCGAGAAATATTAAGGCAACCGTCGGCATTCAATATTTACGTGCAATATTTATATGCATGCACACTTATATTATATTCTCGTGTCGATTAGATTTGCGTGCATATATCGCACTCACCACGTTACCCACGTCACAATTGCAACGCGGGCGGCGGTTTCGCCGGGTGTCGAGAGAGTTTGCAACAATATTGTTGCAACGATATGTTTAAATGAACTTTCTCGAGCCCCGTCAAGCTACATCGTGTCGCCCACGAGACCGCATGTGCAACTATCGCTAATATCGTCAGCGCATCCTTGTCGCACTCCTGTCGGTTTTCGATTTACTCCCCTCCGTCCCTCGTATACGACACACATACATACACACCGCGATTTTGCGGCTGGCTGTCGCGCGCCAACACTAAACCTCGCCGAATACCAGTCTGATCGACCTGACCTGTGCGGCGCACGTATGCCGAGCCCCGAAATCAGATAATCTCGCTGTGGTCGAAACGCGCGGTGCGTGAGTGCGGTGCATGGCCGCATCGACCGGCAACTTCCGAACGCACCTGTTTACCTATTTTCACATTTTCCTCTGTAAACGCGGGATCCGCGTGAGCGAGCGAGCGAACGAGCGCGCGCTCGCTTTGAGTTTTGCATCCGTCGCGTTGTAGCGCGTAGTAGAAATATTCGTTTCCTCGCCGGCTAGCTAGCTGCCTCTGCGAACGCAGAGTGTGTTTTCTAATTGGCGGACGCGCGCTATATATATATATATATATACCGGTGGAGAGACCGGCGCGTATAAATAAATAAATAAATAAATAAATAAATAAATCCGTCCGCGTGCAGCACGTGTACTCGACGTAACGCGCTTTTTCGCGACAGCCCGTCCCATCTGACGCGTGCGCGCGAGTCAATTCGAATAAACGTCAGATTCGTTGGAAATCACGAAGACGTCCGGTCGAATCGGCGCTGCGCGCGTGTGTGACACAGGTAACAACGGAGTTACCGGAGCCGTTCGTTGCTTCCCCCCCGCCTCGCTGCGCGGCCCCCCCGATCGATTGCATTCCCATGTCCCGCGGCGCGACGTGCTGGTAGAACTCACCAGATTTCTGAGCACATCGTCCGGCACGTTTCTGGTGGAGTTGCAGAGCGCTCTGGCAGCGCTGTGCGAGAAAATCACCGGCGCCCTCGTCGTCTGCAGGGCCGCCCTCATCGTTCTCGTCGAGACATGCGAGAGGTCGACCAACATGCCCAGCCTGTTCAATTCCCTGACGACTGCCTGAAGAATAATGAAACGCGTTAAATCTTCCCTTATCTACGCGCCGAGTCGTTCCGCGGCAAACTGGACGATTTGAGCCGAACTTGTCGGCCGGGGAGGGGAGATGGGGCTAAATCGCTCCGGTTTTAACTTTCCTGCGAGATAATGAAACGCGCGCCGGTTTTTCCCTTTTTATTACGTTCAATCGCGTTCTCGACGCTTCTTTCCCGCGCCCGCGCCGTGAACGATAGGCGGAGTCGGGTCTGCGCGCGGAAAGTAAAGCGGGCAAAAATACCGGGCGGATAGATCGGCTGAAAAAGTTGCTCGACATTTTCTCAGACTCCGGCCGCCGATACCGCATCCATTCATTATCATCCTCCGCTTATCGGTCCCCGCGTGTCGAGATATCCGTTCCGAAGAATACACGGTAGTGACAGAAGAGCGCGAGCTATCGAAAGTATCCAAGTACCATAAGCGTCCCATAAGCGATGGCTCCAAGATGATCGGGCCTACGAAATGTGCCGGGCGGGAGGCAGGAGTATGTTCTGCGATGAGAGGAGGTAGCGCTCCATTTCGGTGCAAAAAGCGGGAGGGAGGGAGGATCGGGCGAGGGAGAAAAATAGCAGGAGAAACGAAGGAAACGCTCGCGTTTCGGTCAGCGAACATTAGTCGGGAACGCAAGCGAGCAACCGCCCATTCCATCATGCGATAGCTGGGAAAAAGCTCTCGGGGTGGACGTATCGGTGCGGGAGGTAGACGCGGCGGGTCGATGCGCAGGGCAGGGCGAGTATACCGGCGGCGTGTGACCCTTTTCTTCGAGATAAGCATCAATCTTCATTCGGACTGCTTATTTTTGCAAAAAACGGGTGAGCGTCTCTCGCGGCGATACAGTTTCCAGCGGCCGTCGCGAAAATTGGCAGTGAAAGTATTGCGCGCGCGCAATTATTCAAGGGCTGAGCGGCCCTGAAAATTAGCGTGATTTCCGATCCCGACGTTCCGAAACTTCACCTATGCCGCTTACGCGAAATCAACGATTCATTTAATTAACTTGGAGCAGCACGGAGTTACTGCAAAATAACGGAAAATTAGAAGAGTGAGAAGGGGACAGGGAGGGGGAGGAGCAGGAGAGGAAGAGAGCGCTCGTAGAAATATCGATCGAGACCCCTTCGTCGCCTCGGTGATATTTTCGTTCTCCGGTATTAATTAGAAATCATACCTCGCCAATTATCGAGAGAGAAATAAATGACTCGGTGACCGCGCCGCGTGAGGAGAGCTATTAGCAACAATCTACTATATAACCCCGGTATATTTTCGTAGCGACGATGTATGCGGCTTTCTTACGCGCATCCACGTGTGAACACGTTGTCATTCAATATTCAGTCGTTGACTCTTTTCTCGCGACTGCTCGCTCGTTACATTGTGCGAATTCGCGACAAGAGTCGCCGGCGAATTTCAATAAAGACAGTCGCGAGCGAAGGAGGAAGCAGACGGACGAACGACACGGCTGTGGAAGAACGAATCACAATGGTCTCGTTTTTCCGGCATCATCCCTTTAACACGAGGGATGCAGCTCGCGCGCGCTTTTCTCGGGCGCTTTGTGCGCTCGTGTCCGCCGCGCGATTTTGTCCGAGCGATGTGAGTCGCGCGCGCGCTCGCACGTCGGCGACAGAGGTGTTATTGTTTTTACATGGAAGACGCGCTCCTCCCGAATACGGATGCGTTGCTGCGGGGAGGGGGGTGGTGCATAATTGCGCGACGCAGGACAATGTCTCGATTTCTTATCGGCGGTATTAGCAACAACAAGCGTCGCGTCGCAAAACCGATGTCTCGTCGCTCCTCGCATGTTCGTGCAACGAGAACGCGCTGAAAACGTGCGAGTGAACACGTCGACACCCAGCGGGAATCCGCGAGTAAAATTAGCCGGAAGATTCTCTCGCCGCGAGGCCTCTCCTTCGTAATTTCCACTGGGCGACGCGATATTATTGTTAATTAACCGGTTGATCCATTAACAGCGATGGAAGTAAACGCGCGATATCGCGCGCGGCGACGCTGTCGTTGGCATTCTGCGTTGCGCGGTATCGCAAATTCGATGTCGCGATTCTTCGCGGAAAATCGAGGAGGTGTAACCGCGTTCTCGCGATCGTCCGTGTTCCCGGCGACGCGCGACGGCCGAATCGCTGAATTTCGACGTGTAATCCGACGCCTGTTGCTGGCTATCGAATGCGACGAGAGACTAGGCGAAACTAATCGTCACATTCAAAAGCCGCAATAAAATCAAGCCCACGCTGCGACCGTGACAAATACAGCTCCGCGAGCCGTCGCCATAATTCCACGATGTAGCACCGCGCGTCGCGTTAACGCGATGACTCAAAATTCACGTGTGCATGCGTGCGTGCGTGCGTGACGAGCTGCGCGCACTCGTGTCACACGCGCGTATTCGCGCACCTGGTAAACAGCGCCGGAAAATACGTGTCGCTCAATAGAAATAACAGCCCAAAGGAACGGCGGGAGTAAAGGGCAAAAACGCCCGTCGAATTGCGCGCTCGTACACGTACACTCACACACGACGCGCGTGCTTACACGGACACGTACACATAATGCAGCGGGCAGACTCGCTTCGCCGACAGGCTGGGTATCCCATCCATTGCGGGAAATGCACATCGGGTATTTACAACGACAGGACGTTACGTTAGCCGCTGAAAGGCCACGGGGAGAGATAGACGAACGCAGGGGATTTTCAGATAATTCCGTTTATCTTTCGGAACGAGCCACGCGGCTACGTCGAGGCTCTCGCTCCTTTGAAACGCCATGCGAAATATCGCGACGCAGCACATCGCCGCGCCGCTTGCCGTTCGCTACGATCGAACGTCCCCACGATACGCTTGAATTTCGATATTTATACAGCGCCGAGAGGTCGTTTGCGATACGTCGCCGGATGATCAAGCCCCTCTTTCGCGTATTACACTCGCGTGAGACACGTCGACGAGAGAGAGTGATCGTGCGTGCGAGAGCGGATTTTCACATAGCGCGAGAAATTCCGCACTGCCGGAATCGATCGATTTAACGCGACGCGAGGACGCGACCGTCGCTGACAAACCGCGGAGCATTTAGTGTCGCGCGTAGAATTCTCCCCTGAAGAAGATCTGTCATTTATTAATGTGAGATTTAGCCGTTGCAGAGGGGAAGGGGAGGGGTGAGGCGAGATAACGGTGTGTGGTGGCTCGCTCGTTTGATTTACGTTCTCACGCGCTTCCCTCGTTCCGTGTTCCACCTTTTCCTCCTCCCGTTAAGCTTTACCCTTTGTCCCCTTTCCTTTCCTCCTCTCTCTCGTTCGTTCTATCTCTCTTTCTTCCCCCCCCCTCTCTCTCTCTCTCTCTCTCTCTCTATCTTTTATTATTCTTTTTTTTTCATCAGGAACCACCGTTGCCGCGAGACTACGAATTTCGGCGAAAAACTCGGGCGACGCGGGGATGTGGAATTCCTTTCTTTCGGTTTTTCAGGCGCGGATTTCGGGATTCGCGCGACGCCAGAACGGCAGAAATTCGCCACGGCGAAATCGTCGAAGCCGCGTTAACGCTCGGAATCCCTCGACGAATTCCGCGCGGAAGTGGGTCGGGATATAATTTTATGAACGTGGCAGCGAGCGACGAGGAGTGATAAACGGAATGTAGGTCGGGCGCGATCGGTCGCGCGCGTTCGTTGACGATCATCTCTTTGATTACGCGGAAAAATAATTCGAGACCAACGGCGATGCTACGATCTAAATCTCGCCGCAACAATTGGGAGCGCTTCGCGATGTAGACGCGCGCGTCGCGCTATATCTCGTTCATTTAGATATTTTCGAGATATATAGGCTCTCCCCTCTCCATCCCTTTCCCAGGTCGGAGAATATCGAGCGTTGCGCGTTCGATGTCGAGGTATTAGGTGCAAATTAGAATTGTTATTTAATTAGAGCGTGTCGATTTACGTAACGGCCGTTAATCGCACAATCGATAGCTTACACGCTCCGCTTTTTAAACTCCTCCGGCTTTGAGGAGGAAAATTGCGGGGAATAGCATGCTGTACCGCGGGTAAACCGTAGAAATCGCTTGAAATTAGCTCATGAGCGTTGCGCGTAATTTAATGGCACATTACCGCGCGATACAGTATTCAGCTATTGTGTAAATCTGTTTGTAAATTTCGGTCAACGATTTATTCCACAGATATCTCGCGTTCTGACAATATTATTATTTCCCTCAGCAAGGTCTCGCATTATTGTACGCAAAGAAAAAAAGAAAGAGGAGAAACAGAAGGGGGGAGGGAAATAAATAAGAGCGGTAAATTAATGCGATAGTCGCATTAAAATGTACGGGGAGCTCACGGCGAAATTGTACGAAACTGTTGCGATCGTTTCGCGGAATAATGCCGGAGCTCGCGTCTTGGCCGGAAGTCTGCGGTATTATTTTTCCAGAATGTCGCGCAACTCTGTCCGCGACTGTCCGCACCGTAAAACGGAAGTTCTCTCTCTCTCTCTCTCTCTCTCTCTCTCTCTCTCTCTCTCTCTCCTCCCCTCCCCTCCCCTCCCCTCCCCTCCTTTCCTCTCCTTTTCTCGTTCTCACCCTCACCCTCACCCGCGTATGCACACACGGGCATCTTTTTGTGAACGCGATATTTCCCCAAGTTCTCATCCCGAAAAAGGTGAATCCGCAGCGAGCGTACAATGTAAATGTTGACTCACTTTTCCAAATTCGCTGAGGCCCGGCGTCGAGTCCTGAGTGTTGTTCGTCTCGCCAACAGAACAGACTGCCCTGCCAAGAAAATGTCTGTTAGAACGTCGGTTTGCGTCTCTCGCGTGAAAATTCAACGGCCTGTCGTGTCGCGCGTACTCTCTCAGCCCCGTTCCGCTCCGCTCCGCTCCTTTCGGATGAACTTCGGGCTGAGTTCGCGAGCGAATAATATTTTCTAAAGTATCAGAGGTTAGCTCATAAGCTTCTATATACGCACATTCACTCCACAGGTATGGTTGCTACGTGTAATTTTTGCGGCTCAGAAGAAGTAAAAATGACTGTCGGTGAGACGGCGATGAGAGTCGCGAAGGCAGGACCGCTTTTATCGTTTAAACAGAGCAATCGTCTGCCTCGTTGAAAAGTTCATTTTGCCTTGAAATGCCCGAAGAATACCCCGCGGCGAAATTCTCGTTAAAGCGCGCTCGTAAGTCGCGCAAATCGAGAAGCGACTAATCCTGGCTGCCCACACTCGCTTCTGCTTAATTGAGAGACGCGCTCTGTTTTCGCCGGTCTCGACATTTCCGCGGCTCCGATTCCCGCTAAACGCTGCACTTACGCGTTTTACGTTCATCGATGAAGCTGTTATTGAGACACTTTCCCGCGCCCACGCGCCGGCTGGCAGATATACCTCATGTTATTTTTATATCCTTACACGCTGTTGAATGATGAAACACATACGAGAGAGACACCTATGCTACGATAAGCGTGTGAAGGTTGAAAAACAACCAAGACGTTCGTAGGGAGGTGCGAAAGCTATGAGGAATCCGATAATTCTCCACGGTCGATTCTCGCCTCCCGGACGAGAAGGTGGAAACGCTAGAGATGATTCGGCATCGTCATCTAGAACGGTGGAAAATTCAATCGAACCGACAATCTCGCGTCCCCAGGGATGAGAGAGGACGGGAGCGAGAGAGTGAGACAGTGCTAGGAAGGGAGGGAGGGAGGAAGTTTGGGAGGGCAAACCACCGAGACGGAACGAGACGAAGAGCGACGCGGGAATAGGGTCAGAGGCTGACATTAAGCTCCGGGAACACGTCCGAAAGCAATTCGGATATTGTCCCAATAAAAGTGCGCTTTCCTCATGAAAACCGGAAATCTCAGACCGCAGAAATGAAAGCACATTTTTACGACGTTTTATTCGGCCGCTCTCTCGGGATGTGTCGCGGGCCGACTGCGTTTCTGTCCCTCGCTGGATACTCCGTATCGCTCGTTTGCGATCCTCTCGGTATTCCTACCATTACAAGTTGGCATTACACGCACTTGGAAAGAGTCGTGAATTTTGTTCCCGGCGCTTGCGCCACCTGTCGCGCTGTCGCCTCCACCTGTCGGTGGAGCGCGCTAAGATGCACGTAATTGAGGAATATTCGGAATTCGATGCGATAGGTACAAGACGCACCTGTAGCATGGATACCACCGGCTGGCGATACCGTTATTCCAATGTCGACGACAATGTTATCGGAGCGCTCGCGATCGCGTTGGCTCCGCGGAGCCGCGGTCGTCTGCGATGCGCGCGCGTCTGAAATCTTATCAACGTGTCACTTTAACGCTTCGGGAACGGAGCCGTGGCCGCGATGAGATTACGTACCGCGCGTCTGTCGTAAGACGACACGTCGGCGTAAATTAGGGGGGTCAGAAGGGAAAAATATGTACTATCCGAGAGGAGAGATTTGCACGTGCGCGCGCGCGTGCTCCGATCCTTATTTACTGCGGTAAGCGCCGCGGCGCGGGCGTCGGGGGAGACATAAAGCAGGCGGAGATCGGGAAAGCAAGGCGAGGAACCAGGTCGATGCCCATTGTCGTATAATACTTTGACCTTAAAACGACGTTGGAGTGTTAGCGATCTCGGCCGGCCGCCGTCGTAATTTCCATCCCCTCGGCTGCTGAGGACGGGGTTGGGGGAAGGGTGAGGGCGGTAATACGTCTGGCGCGACGCTTCTCGAGGTGCGAAGCCTATTTCGTACGACGGGATGTCGGTGGTGAGATTATTATTGCGATTGATTTCCCAAGCCCTCCTCCTCGCCATGGGCTCGTAAATGACAACGACGTGCGCCGACGGATATCCGCGACGATCGATGCGCCTGACGTTCAGCCCCGAAGTTCAGCTCGTAAAAGAGGTATACACGTAAGAAGGGCGGGGGTTTGAAAGTATAAAGAAGAAATCGCGATACGCTGGAAAATGCACTTTTCGAAGCATCGTCGCGGCGCGGCGGCGGGCGGCCGCGGCGTCTCCCCGGCAACCCCGGCGCGCCGTAATCTAACGATCGCTTCCGAGCTTTGTAAGGCACAGCCGCACGCGCGAACGGTCCCGAGCTTAATTTCGGCTTGATTTCGGGATTACCGTTATTATTACCGCGGATTGGAAACGGGCGAGAATTATAGTAATAATCGGCCTCGTGAATTTTCGCTGAAGTCGGAGAAGCCGAAGGAGAAGCCTGCTTTTTCGCTGACTATCGCGCGACTGAAATTTTCTTGCGCGGCGCGGCGCGGCGCGAGAAGCAGCCGCGAACGGGTCTCGCGATAATTAAGCGAATTCGCCGGGGTCGAAATATCAGCGCGCGCTGCGCAGTCGTCAGTACTTCCGTTTTATGGCCCGCGTGACTCGCAGCTTCCGCGAATAACGTATCGCGGATTCTCCGCGAAAACGCGGTCGCGCGGCCCCCGGGATCGAAGAGATGCATAAAAGAGACGACTTTATTTACAACTCCGCGCTTTCTCTCGGCAGCCGGCATCGAGGGATGCATAAACCTCGGGTTAAGGATCGATGTCCCGGGGAGGGAGACGTGTCTCCGTCCCGACATTGTTCCTCGCGCGCTCGACCCAAGCTTGTTTCAAGCCGGAAGAGCGAGTGCGTGTAGTAACCGCGTTGCGCGATTCGCGCAGAGTTTCGAGTTCTGATCGTCCCGCGAGAATCGGACTACGCGCACCTCGAATGTCTCGTATTAATATTCGAGATCAGCGTGAAAGATCGAGTTGTCCCTTGACGTAAACAGACGATACAGTAGACTCGGACCGCCCGCGGTAAAATCCGGCAGAATCCGAAAGCAAAGTCGCGACGATTAGTAGAAAATGTCTCTGTAGCAGCGGATTAAGGAAACGAAATTGAGAAAGTTGACTCCTAGACAATGCAATTGGCTCTTTGATAAGAGACGCTATTCCGTCGCGCATCCCTTCCTCGACGAAACGAAGCTCCTCTCTCGCTGTAAGTTTCTCTTTTCCGAGCGCGCTAGGAAATAAGCGGCGGCTTTGGGCTGCTTCCGAAATTACTGAAAAGAACTTCCGACCGTCCAGATTTCAGGTTACCTTCGCTTTCTCTCTCATTCTCTCCCTCTCCCTCTTGCGCGCGCTCGCTCTCTTTCGAGTTAAGCCGATCAACCGTGGAATTGGTTTGCCTCTAAGAGGAGTGGATCGTGATACGAAGCACGAGTCTCGGGAGAAAAAAAACCGGATGCTCGATGAACGAATGGCTTGAACACGCTGGAGCTTCTTGCGCGCGAGGTGAGAGAGGAGGCGCGGCAAGAACGATATCCGAAGAAACGATACGCCCTCGAGAGAGAATGTCGATCTCGAGTGGATGAGATAGAGCATCGTCTCGAAAGGAACGATGTCCATATTCCCGAACAGGCGCGATTCATAAAAAGCGCGACGTGAGAGTGTCATTTAATGGCTTAATGGCGCGTGCTTCGAGATAAGTTACGACGGCGCTTTCAGCGCTGTAGCGGAGCAATTTTTTTTCTTTTTTTTTTTCTTTTCTTTTTTTCGTAGATTATAAACGATTTAATTATTCTGAAAACGAGCGGGAATCTCGTACATTCGCAGCTCATACTCACCAGGAGGTGTCGCACGCGTGTGTCAGGGTGAGATATCGCGCTCCCAGGCCATAAAACGTTCTGAGGACACCCAGAGAATTTCCTAGGGAGTGACCGCCCTCCACTCCGATTAGACTCGCGATTTTACCTTCTCTATGCGCCTCGATGAGACCTGCACAGACACACAGCGCGAATTTCCATTAACAATCTCTCTATTCCGTTCGTAGTTCGTTCTACGCGAAACGTAACGTCGCTCGTACAGTGTCTCGCTCTCTCCTCGTAACTTCGTCTCGTATCTTACGGGCAATCTGACGTCGTAAACACGCAAAAACCGCGGTAGCGCAGCTCACGATGAACTTTGCGATCCGAGAATACTCGAACGTGGGAAAACACCTAAGTACATGAGACTTATTCGCGACTCATCCGCTCGTGGAACTTGGACTCATCTCCGGTGAACTTTGCTCTCGCTCGAATTACATACGCTTCATCCGCGAGAATCGGTCCAATTTTCGTTCGTTCTTTTCGTCGCGCCCACCATCGGCACGAATTTTATAATTCTTCCCTCAGGCATCCTCTTTTTTTTTCTTTTTTCTTCGGTGAGTGAGATTAAAGTGACACTTCATGAGATTAAGGGAGACCCTCGATTCGGGGTATTATTTATGACGCTCATAGATTATTTACGACCATCGGCGAGGAGATCGCAGACGAAATCTCGGAAAGTCGGTTGCGCTCTCCGGACGGGGCACGGAGTGTAAATGAAAAGATCGGTAAAAATCGGCTTTTAAATCCGCTTTCGAAAGTGCTTTCAGGAGTGCTGTAGATCGTCTCATTGAAACTTTCAGACTGCTTCGAGGCGCTGGGGGCATTAAGCCGACTGATTTATCGCACTTTTACATCGAATATGTCGAACCGCGCGCGAGTTATTTATTTAAACGCGTATCCCGGCTCTCTCTAAAGTCCGCTTTGCCGCGGTAAAACGGCGTATATACATGTGCCCATGTATATCTGTAAGCTGAGGATTAATGACGGATCCGTCAGACTCGTAAACTTTTATCGTCCTGTTGCTCTCCATTCATTCGGCGATAAAAGTTCTCACGCTACGCTTCTTATTGCTCACCCACTCGCGACTGACAATACTTTGTTTATTTCTCTGTACACGCGGCTGTTAATAGATCGTTCAGCACGGCGATTAACGTAATCGGAGATTAATTGCCGTTTGACGCGGCCGAAACTCCGTAGAAGCTGGAGAACGATCTTAGCCACTTGGCTAGTCATTTTAATGCAAATCCAAAGACATTAACATTATTAATTCGTCCCTTGCGCTGGCCTCGCTCTTTGTCTTTGCGTTGTGTTGCAAAGTGCTTTAACGGTCGAAATTTTCTGCGCTCAAATTTCCGTCGTTGGAGGGATGTCTGTTGGCATCGTTCGCGAGATCCGTCGATTAATCAACAATGAGAATTCGTATGAACGGTCAGAACGTAAACACGCAGCGAGTAACCTAAAATCGTTGAGTGATTATAGAGGGAATCTGTCGGCCGTGAGGAATACAAAATTAATATTAATCTCAAGTTTTTACGCTTGCCCGATTTACTTTTATCGCGCCGTACCGCCGCGCAATAAAGCGTTTTATAAAGTTTAATAGGATTTAATGCCTTTTATCTCGATACGAGAAAGCCGTGCGCTATCTTTTGAGAAACGCACCACTGATCTCGAAAATTAAAAAGCTGGTAATCTCCTTTTGTAACTGTCCCGCCCGTCTTTGCCGCTTTGAAGTTCACTCGAAAGCAGCCTGCCCCTACTGCCCGAAAATAAAACGAATGCGAGTCTAAATGAATACTCTGCCGCGCTTTAATGAGATTCTTGTTTTCGTTATTAATTACTGCATTAAATTTCCACCCTTGCCCCTCCTTTCTCGCGCGCGCGCGTGTACGACGCGCACAAAATGACACGGGGAGCCGCTTCTCAAAATATTCCGTTAGTTATTAATTAATAGCATTTTCTTGCACCCGACGTTGCTGTGATTCAGCGCGGTGAATTTCCGAAATTGCGGTTTTGCCCCTTCTAGCCGCCATTGTGCGGCAGGTTCGTATGCACGAGCCGCTGGCTTTTCCACCTTTTGCCTTCTTCGCGCCGCGACCTCCTTTCGACTTGGCGAAGTTTCTTGAGCTTATGAAAATGGCTGACAGCTTTCCGGACCGTGTTACTCACGGTAAGTTCCACTGCGCGAGGCTTTGCTTGCGACGCGGCGCTCGGCTGCTATTTCCGCGCTCGGCCCTTCCCCGTATTCCTCTTTCATTTTTCAGCGGCTGTACATGTATATGCGCAGCTTGATTTCGCGTACGCAGCACTCACGAAATCGACTGGCCGTTCACTTGCTCGAAATATCCGCAGCAGAAGGATCTCTTGCGTCTCGACGCGAAATATCGAGGACGCGCGAGAGTGGTGCGATGTGGCGTCGATTTTTCCTCAACGGCAAAAATTGCCTCGTAACTCTCGTCTTGACGTTTGAATTTTTTACATTAAACATCGCGCACGCGTGTATTTTCTCTCTGCTCTCTCTTATGCGCCAATTCTCGTATTCTCTTATCTTTTGGAATGATTTACTTTGAATAAATTGAGAAGAGCGTAAGTTTTTGTTTCTTACTCGCTAACGGGTTCAATCCCGTCGAACCTTGTGTAATTTTTCTTTCTTCGCATTCAATCGCGAATTCAATTCTTTCTTCGTACAATCGGACCTCTCCTAATATTTTCGTTAATAAAGGCTCAACGGCGCAAATTCGTCGGCGGAATTGCGGGTTTTCTCTAGTACAGGTTTCTCCGGACCGTTTATTTATGCAACGTTTGCATATCTCGCGCAAAATGTAATATTCTTATCTTCTCCTCGCGCGCGACCTCGATTTGATTTCAACGAGCTTATGAAAATGGCAGTCGGGTTTCTGAAGCGAGTTACTTGTCGCGAAAACTTTCGCAAGCCCGCGCGTGTATCTTCGCAGCCATCCTCTTTCGCTCCGCGGCGTCTTCTCTTCTTTCGGGTTGTGCGCGCAGTTTGTCCGTTATTTCGACGCCGGGTATTGTTTCCTCTTTTTCCCGGAAATGTATCCCGCAAGTAGCTCCGTCGCATATCGACGCAATTTATTCCCCATTAGTTGATTACGTCGACATTTCGCAAATTCTCGTTAACGAACGATATATCGAGCCATTAATTTCTAACGGCAAATCAACCCTCTTCAAAAATAGAGATGACCCATAACAGTCATCAGCGCTAATGGATGTTCGTGGGACAAAAAAATTCTCGTTTAACCTTTCGCAATTCTATACGTGAGGGTACGAACTTTTGGTCGCACGGTGGTTGCTGGCAAAAAGTTTTTTTCCAAATTCGGAGTGACGAGTGGGCTTACAACCGCAATAAATTGTCTTCCTCTACATACACACACAATTTTTATAAAAATAGCAAATTGATTGTAATTTGAGCTCGGTAGCGCTGCGATAATACTGAAATAAAAAGTTACGTAATACCGATCTATTTTGTCCGAGATTAGTTCGGATCACGAAGGAATAAGGATCCGTTAAAGATCCGACCGGCATTATCCGCCTCGCGCTGGAGGACCGGCGGAATCGGGACTTTTAATATCCTCTTCACATCGGATATAGAAGCCGGGTCTCTCTGTTGTCTCGTGAATCAGCAGAAGCCACCGTCGATTATGGCGTCCCTTACCGATAGCTTAATGCTTTTGTCCACTGACGGTAAATCTTCCGCAATACAAAGTTATGCCGTCGAGTCGAATCCAATAACGACTTTCTTCCTCAACTTTAGAGAAGTCGAGCAATTAATAGGTAGGGTCCCCTTTATCTACCTCGGATCGTCCCGATGAGAAACTTTCTCTAAGAACCGTCGCTTCCATATCTATTGTTGCCGGCGCGGTTAGCGCGTTACATTTAATAACGCGGCGCGCGCGGCAACGACGACGGCGGCGGCGACGGCGGCAGCAACTAGGGAAATTCTTTCAGTTACAAGAGGGTTCACTTCGTATTAACTGAATTGCCGGGAGACAATGGAGATTTCTCATAATACCTCGCGGGCCAAATTCATTGTACGCGTTTTGGCATCGCTGAACTTTCCGCCTGTCTCTCGCGGGCGAACCTTGTTCTCTTACTCGCGTTTACTCGACACACGTGCCGTATTGTTCATCGTGATATTACGAAAAGTTATTTACCAGACGCTAAATATGTAATTACGGTACATCCTCTCTCGCGTCGGAAGCAATTCACAAAAGAGCAAGACTAAAACGTAGATACTCGTCGTCGTCGTTCTCTTTTTCGCAAAAGATAAATTCGTGCGGAGCTCTCCCGGAGCAGAAAAGAAGAAAAACACTCTTATACGCGGGCGGTTGTAATTGTGACTGTAATTAATCGTAACCTCTGCGAGGAAAGAGGAAGCGCGAGTAGAGGAGCACTAATGTCTACCGTATTAAAAAGAAGTGCGCGCGGTCGACCGATAACGGTCGTATAACAGGAAAGGAAGGTTCATGCGTTGGAGAGGCGCGTTGGATGCGGGTGTTGATGTACGTACTCACCTTTGACGGAGGTAACCAGGGTTAAGTGTTGAGCATTCATTTCGGCGAGTCGACGAATCACGTCGATTTGTTCCAGCGAGAGTTGAACTGCGTTTAACTGAGCGGCGCCGCAAGGAACGTAGGCGGACCAAAACTGCGGAGAAGCAAAACGCGAGGGCGGAGTGTCGCGTCTTATTACTGCGTATAATCATCGGATTTTCTTCGTGCACACATGTAGATATATACAGAGTGTCTGACGATAACATACAGATCTCTCGTGTAGTACGTGCAGATTGGTATCAAACTGAACAGAAAAACCAGCACTATCCTGCGAGTAACTGCATTGTCGCGTGTGTAATTAATAACTCGAATTTACGTGCTCTCTGCGAAATGGTAGAGGGACTTTTTGCTCTGTTTGATCTAATCAGTACGTACACGAAAGATTTATGTGTTACATGTATATATAATTTTTTTAAACTTATATATTATATTTATATGTTATATAACACACACACACACACACACATACATTGAGCGGTTTCGTCGGCCGCATGGACCAGGAGGTGTTACACGGCTGCTCTAGATAATCCGCGCGTTTACCCACCTCCGGCCGATGCGTAGACGATCGGCTTAAACGCTCGCGGTGCTCGACGGATGTTGCATTCCCCGGATCGGTCGAGCATCCGGCGTAGTCGGCTGGTAATCGAACACCAATATCGTCCTCTGCGACGGTGATGGAGAGAGAGAGGGGTAGAGGATGGAGACGCGTTCGGTTTATATACCGATATCCGGGGCCGAATTTCGCCGCGTTTTCCCCTTGACTTTGAGAGCTAGCGTTACCAATTAGCTGGCGGTCCAATTAGCGCCGAGTTGCTGCGCGTAAATATTGAGTTTTGGTTCTGTGTGTAGCCTAACGCGATTGACATCCTCGATTCTCGCGCTGCTCGCGGTCCTTCCGAAGCCGACGTTACTATACTAATCGCATGACGAGACATGACTGCTGCTGGGATGGCGGGGTAGTCGAGGGTGAAAGAGGGTAAGTAGGACGCGGTATCGGGATGGTTTCGGCCAGGGAAGAAAAGCAGAGAGACGTTGGAGCAGAGATGAAGGTGGAGGGGGAGGGGGAGGGGGAATATGTCGAAGACGACGACAGCGGCGGTGCCGCCGGGGCGGCGGGAGGAAGCCTCATGCAATTGAAACGAATTCTCTTTTGATGGCGCAGGGAAAACGGAGGAGACACCCCCTCGGTGCGGCCGGGAGGGCGCGTTCGCGAACGGCTTTTTGATGCTCGCACCTGCCGCGGATGGCATAATCGCGTTCCGCCGCCGCGCACTTCCGCATGATGTCGCGCCCGGGGCGTAGGCGGCGCATTTTTGCGCTCGTCATCGCAGATTACTCGCTCAGCGCGATCGCGTTGCTTTGGATATGCGAGAGATAGCGTATGAGGACAGAGCAAAATAAAAAAAGGAAGGAATGACGCGCGTACCGCCGTGTTGGCTGGCGGACATAAATTACAAGAGTCGCGCGAATATTCGACGTAATTCGTGGCCGCGTGCGCGCGCGCGCGCGCGCGCGCACGCGCGCAAGCGAGCGGCCGTGGGCGATTTATTATCGCTCGTGGTAATATCGCGACTATAACGACTATACGAATTCAAATATCCACAGTATATTTTACGCGGTAATTTACATGAGTGCGGATGCGCATGACGCGCGTGTAGACATCTTTCCGGTACATCGCGCGGCAGATGCGCACGATAGAGGGTTATTCGTCACGGCGAAATAGACGCGCCACGCTAATAATCTGACGCCGCTAAACTGATGGAGTTAGCGTCGCGAACAGCCGGGCGGATCTGACGTTCCTATCTTCCTTCCGGACACTCCGCGCTCACGCTCGCTCGCTCGGCCGATCCGCATCGGCGAATCGCAGTTAATAATGATATCACGGAACCGGCAGATAAAGCCGTCCGACCGGAAAGCTACGTGCCTTCTTGCAGAAGGAAGGCAGATAACGCTGACGGCCGGGGTTGCGCGGTTCAAAACATGCGACGGCTGCCAGCGGAATGTTGCATCCGCTCGATAGCGGCGCGCAACGTTTCGAGAAATCCGGCCCCGGAAATGTATTTATCGAAGAAAACGCATCTCTCCCTCTCTCTCTTTCTCCCCCCCTCTCTCTCTCTCTCTCTCTCTCTCTCTCGCTCTCGCTCTCTCACTCTCCCACTCGAGAAAGCTTCAGCGTAAAACGGATGAGAGATAAACAAGGCGATGTGGGTTAAACAGAAGTTGCCGCGCCTCGTCGTCGTCGTCGTCGTGGAATAACATCCAGCTCGGCGGGCGTAATTGTGCCAATAAATGCAACTGCGCTCGTCGCATTCACGGCCGCGCAGCCGTAACGTTGCATCGTTGACACCGTATAACGTAAGAAGTCAAGTGGGCGCGGGATGTCGTATTGCTTGTTAAAATGTTTACGAAGTCGCGCGCGAATACCGCGTGTTTCCGCTTGACGGGGAATTGAAGAGAGAGAGAGAGAGAGAGAGAGAGAGAGAGAGAGAGAGAGAAAGAGAGAGAGAGAAAAGGAACTCTCGTCTCTCCTCGGGCCCATCTTCTTCAGCACCGATGGTTCGCGCAAGGGTCTGGAGAATCGCTGCTTTTTGCGCGTTTGGAAAAATCGTCCGAGAATCAACCAGCAAGAACGAATGCGGCGGCGCATCGTCTCGCGCATGATGCTCGAAATTTCTCTCGCGGAATCAAATCTCGTTTTTCGAAAACGCTCGCAAAGCGATTCGCCGAGAGACTGCTGTACGCGTATGCGAGGATTTATGCGTTACTTGCTTCACTCATAGGCGCAGAATCACGTCACGATATTCTCTTTGGTAGGGCGTCGCAGTCGAGAGCTCTCTAGAACAAAGCTTTCGATGCGTCTTGCACGCAAGTGCTCTCGCACAGCCATGAGAGGGAAAGAGAGAGAGAGAGTGAGTGAGGGAGAGGGAGAGGGAGAGGAAGAGAGAGAGGGAGATCCCTCGTTTCGTATTCTCTCGAAACGGCCTTTTCCTCCACGAGAAAATCATTTTCTTGAGCTCGAAATGGCCCGACCGCAGCGCGCTTCCGTGTTTCGCAGCGGGGAAAGCTCGCGAAGTTGCGACCGGGTGTGAAGAAGCAGAATTGAGAGGAAGCGGGGCGAGAGGGTGTGTAGCTTGTGGTAAACAACAGAGTATAAGGAAGGGGAGTGAGAGGTTGATGGTCCGGCGCGGTCGACCTGGTGGATGAAGCTTTCGACTCGCTGATTATCTTTTATCGCGGTTCTCTCGCTGCAAACTTTGGCCATCTTTTCGCGGTCATGGTACTTTCTCCGCCTTTTCGGCGGAAGTCGAGGCCCCGAAAGGAGGACAACGACGACGGGGGTGGGAAGGGGCGATGGCTAGGAGGACGCGGGACACAAACTCGATTTCCGTTTCTGTCTGTGCGTGCGCGCGCGCGCGCGCCAACGAACTGAGAAGAAATGGAATTTCGTGGCGCTGCCGTTGTGGGGAATTTGTTCGTAAACAGAATTGCCATTGTTAAGGATATCGAACGCGCAACGGGGAGTCCGCTGGCGCGCGCGCGCGTGCGCATGTTCGCGGCTGGCCGAAGTTCGAGAGTGGCTCCGGGCCGAAAAAGCGGTTTAGTGCCGCAAAACGAGTGCGCCCCGATACGGTCGCGCCGTGCGCGGCGAATTACACGGCGTTTCCTTGTTTCGTTACGTCGCTTTTACCGTCGTGCTTTTTGCGCGACAGTTCGGAGCGACGGCGGTGGCGGCGGCGGCGGAAGAACGGGCAAAATGGGCGCGCGTCTTTTTGCCGCGCGGCAACGGCGTCCGCGCGCGCGCGCACTTTTGTAGAATTAAACGGAATGAACTTTTCTCGGCGGCGACGCGGTGGTTTGCGGGGAAACTGAAAAATTTCATCTCATCGTGACGTTAAAACACCCAACACGCTAGCCGACTGACTAACAATGCTTACGCGACGATATCGTGCGCCACGTACGATTTCGGAAACGTTCGGCTTGAAACTCGCGCGCGTCTTTGTGTCGTGGCGCGAAAATTCTCACTGTAAATGTTGCATTACGCGCGTCGCACTTTCTCTGTATTTCGCGTCACAAGCCAACGTGAACGAGTCGCCTATGCTGTTAGGTAATGATAACACCGCGTTGTACGCCGTGCATCGTGTTATTTATTGCGTTACCTCATTGTGTCATTATTGTCGCATTATTTCACGGCTGTTTAATCCTAGAATGCTAAATAATATTTACTGATAATTCTGACGAAATTTCGAATGCGCGACACGTTTTCGTTCGTGCGTCGATACACTTTCCCATAACGCAGTATAGCGTTGTTGTTACGCGCCGTATATATCATGTATAAAATCTATATTAATTACTAACGACGTGCTCGCGGCAGCATCATTGTGCCTTGTTCACTTGCGCGATCGTGCGCGATAGGATTTTTCCGTGTTTCCACGGCGAGAACACGGCTGAATGGCGAGTCCACCCCGCTCCCGGATCAAGATACAATAGATTAACTTTTTCATGTTGATTAATTAATACGGGAAAGCACTTGGCGCTGTATCGAATCGTGTCGAATTCGAAATACATCGTCGACCCATGAATTGCAACTAATCGGTAATCGCTAATACCTCATGTATTGTTCATGTATATTGTTTATGTATTGCTGCTGACACTGCGCTATGTGTGTGTGTGTGTGTGTGTGTGTGTGTGTGTGTGTGTGTGAGAGAGAGAGAGAGCTGTGTCGCATATATATTTAATTGCATTAATCGCAGCACAGTTCATATAAGGCTTATTTATTCATTATTCGTATTAGTATTAATTAGAAATCGTGCTGTCAGGGATCAATCCTAAATTCGCGACAATTCGCGGCCGCGCACGAATTGTCACGTTTCCTCCGATTTTATCGTCGTATCGTTATCGCCCGCGGAATCGGATACACCGGAAAAATTGCACCATCCTAGCGTTTTCCGATACGTCCATTCGCGCGCGCGCGCGCGGACGTCTATCGTGTTTTTCTCGCGCGCTTCGTTATGAAATCGTTTTGATCTCGCCGTGCGAGTTTTGTCAAGTTTAGCGCAAAAGTTACGACTCGTCCATCAGCACACGCCTCGGCGT